GAGCGAGAGGCTGCGAACTTCATCCTGAAGGTCATTCAGAGCTGCTTCCTCAGCAACAGGCAAGGCCCCAGTCCTGAGCTCCCCTCACGTGTCCCCCACCTGGTGTTCAGGGGGCCCTGGGTGGGGCCACGCCTGGGCCAGGTGACCGGATGCACTGCCCTGAGACGCCCAGCCTGGTGGGGTGGGTGAGGGGCTTCAGGTGCCATGGGGGCTGTGACTGGAGGGGCTCGGCCTCAGTGACATTCTAGGGGACAGGTTCCCGGGGCTGTGGCAGTCGGAGGTGGCCTGGAGGTTTCCAGGTTGAACAACGGGGTGACCCACGGGAGGCCAGGCTGCAGGAGGTGCAGAGCCCCCAGGCCCACACCCTGGGGACAGAAGACTGGCCCCACTGGGCCCGCCAAGGTCCAGGGGGAGTGCGGCCTGGGGGTGCCACACGCTTTTGGTGACCAGGGTGCAGAGAGAGGGAGGGGCTCGGCCCGGTGGGAGGGGTCTGGTGGGCAGCATGGGGCTGTGATGGCTCTGCTGTGTGCTGGGCAGACCCCCGACCTGGACTCAGCTCCTAGGACAGGAGGCAGCCAGGTGAGGAAAGACATCCGCCCGAGCCCACGTTAGGCGCCCACGAGCAAGGAGACGGGGCAGAACCGGGGAGCTGCCAGGAAGGGAGCACAGGTCCCATCGGGCAAGGCGCTGGTGGGGCAGAGGTCCACGGTTGGGCCCTGAGCCTCTGGGGCAGCTCAGAGGGGTCAGCCCCTCACAGCGCCCCTTGCCCTCTGCCTGCAGGAGCCGGACCTATGACATGATCCAGTACTATCAGAACGACATCCCCTACTGAGAGCGGGGCGGCCGCAATCAATCTGCACAGGCGCGCCGGCTGCTGCTTCAACCGACAGACAAATGGGCCAGAGGTGTCCCTGCCAAGCTGGAGACTCACTGTCCCGGGCGCCGCCCGCATGGCCAGAAGGACAATCAGAGCCGGTCTCTGCACGGGCACGGGCTCTTCTTGCACTGGACGCATTCCCTACCCGTCTTTTCTCAAAGGCACAGGAAGTATGTTCTTAGGCATAAAAATCAGAAAAGCTATATTTAACCAACATGAACAAAATAAAAGCACACTGCTGCGCTGGACCCTGATTTACTCTTGAATCCTAAGTGCACATTTAGGTGGGGGTGGGCGGGAAGCAAGGGGCTCAGGGCCGCCCGCAGCACCCTGACTGTGAGCCTCACAGAGACGAGCCAGCACGGCGCCGTGGAGCAACAGCACCTGTGTTCTCCCGGCCGGCTCAGGGCCGCCGGCGGTCCCTTCCTGGCCTCGCCTCCGCGGGCGTCGCTTCGCCTCCTTCCTGTATCTGTCTCCAGCATCTTCAGGTCGCTCTGCTCCATGGCCACACCGTCCTCCTGCACTGAGCCCCACCCCCACAGCGTCCATCCCACCCAGACGACCGTACTAAAGAAATGACAGAACATCTAGAAATGAGTCACTTGAAAGGTTGGTACATAGTATAAGACAGAGGTGAAGAGAAAACCTGTTGATGAAAGAACAGGCACCTAGAAGGGGCATAAAGAAACGGTAAGTGGGGGTGGGACACTCCAGTCCCCAAGCAGGACCCCAGAGCTGGCACAGAACGCACTCAGCTGCAGGAAGTGCAGCACCAAGACACAGAGACACGGCCGCTGGGAAGGTAAGCGCTTCGTCAGATGCGGAGCTCGTCCAGGAAGGGAGGCCCTCATGGGGGAGCTCTCACGGCTGAGAGACGGTCCCCCTGTGCCAGTCATTCTGTGCCTCCCACTGGGAGGCAGGAGTTCTAACTGTTGATGAAACATGAGGCCCGACTACTTCCTGACAAGAGGTGCTCTTTAAATACAGTCAGAGACCTGATGCGAAAGGAGGGGGCAAAGATTCCCCATCAGCAGGCGTATGTGTGCTTCTGAAGCAAAGCTTGACAGAATTCAGGGGAGAAATAGACTCACAGACCTGGAGATTCGCAACACCCTTCTCTGCACAAGTGACGAGACTGGCAGAAGGCCAGCGGGCAGAGGACAGCGGCCCGCACACGCCCGGCAGCACGCAGCGCGCTCCATCGACGGCGACAGCGCCCGTCCGCCCCTGCTCAGCACCTCAGGCTGGTTCCGTGCAATTGTGAGGAGTCAACAAGAGAGCTGGAGGGGCCCTGCACTGTCAGCTGGAGCAGTGGAGCTGGAGCACCAGACCAAACACGTGAGAGCTGAGGAGAGGGCCTGCGGGAGAGGCTCTCAGGCTGTGTCTGGGGAGGTGGGCAGAGCTGAGTCCATTCAGATAAGCAAACCAGAATATAGGGTGTAACTTCCAGAAACCAGCAAACAGGAGACTGGGTGCGGTGGGCAGGGGGAGACAGGAAATACAGGATGAACACTCTCTAAAACAGAAATTCACTCACAGTAGAACTGATGGCCACATCACGTGGAAAGGAAGCCTGTCGCATTGGCTTTAAAATGAAAGTCAACTGAATGCCATGAACAAGATGGTGGCAATATGGCAAACTATATCTTTTAAAAAGTTAGAAATAAACGCTTTTAACAATGCTGGGTAGAAAGTCTAAACCCAAGAGCTGACAAGTAAATAGGTCTCTTTAGAGACTGAAAACGAAATTTAAAGTGTTAAGGGCAATCAAGTTCCTCTTCCAATAACACAGTTAACAAAAGACCAACCCAAGAGCCCGAGGCCTCAGGGAGGGGCTCCACGCTCAGAATGGGGTGTGCCCAGAGCAGCACTTGCCTGAGGTGAGTGCGAAACAACCGTGGTCCGTAAAGATGCCACACTGACAGCCGGCCTCCCGGACCACACTTGTCACCACCTCTGCTCAGCGCTGGGCCCTGGGGGCCCTCGCCAGTCTAGTCAGAGAAGGAAACAGTGTGAGAATCGGAGAGAAGAAGCAACTCAGAAGTGGCCTGTGTACACAAAAATCCAAAATAACCTGGGTCTGTTCTATGGTCGAGGTTCAGGATACAGGTTAATACACAAAAGTCAACTGTGTACTCACAGCAACAAAACAAATGAGAATAGTTCCGTTTATAGTCGCATCCCGAGGTACAGCGGAAAAAAGAAAAAGCAAATGACAGGAATAGTTGGCAGGAAAAGAAATGCCCCTGGCCCTTAAATTTAAAAAATACGCCCCTCCCTTGATTTTAAGGTAAATGCAAATTAAAACCACCCTGAAGTGCCCTTGCTCACCCATCAGACACACTGCGTGAGGCGTTGAGGGGGCCCTACCCGGAAAGGGGCCGTATCCTGTGAGGAGGGGCCATAAGAGCCATACAGCCCCCCAGCCCCCAGCGCCAGTGACCCGGGTATCTTAAAACAGCATGCGTGTGGTCAGCCCTGGCTCACAACCCCACTCTGAGGAACTGATCTCAGACTCTCTGGCAAAATACAAAAAGACGTTCGCAGAAGGCTGCCCGCGCCGAGGACACATGGGGACCCACCCCCGTCACCACTGTGACTGCAGGGCAAGTGACACGCCCACCTGAGGGGCCTCGAGGAGGCCAGAGAGGTCGTGTGCCCCCTGTGCTCACGGGGCAGGGGTGGGGGGGCGGATGGCACGCAGTCCACTTACTACGGGGGAAGAAAAGTCCATTTTAAAAATCAAGTGTCTCTTCCACAGAAGTAGGGGAGACAGGGTGGAGGGCAGGGGGGTAAAAGCTTGAGTTCCATTGTTTTATGGATGAGACATCTTGTGTTAAGGGTGTGACTTTGTGATTATAGAAAGTAGAGAATGCAATGCTTGAAAACTGAAAGCAGAAAAATCACCCCCATTAGGATGGCTGTTATTATAAAAGAAGCAAAACCCCCAGCAAACTAAAGTAGAGGATGTGGGGAAGCCGGCCCCCGCGTGCACTGCTGACGGGACACTGTCCAGCAGTTCCTCAAACAATTACACAGAAGCACCCTTTGACCCAGCAAGTCCACACCTAGGTAAACAGCCAAAAGAAGTGAGAGCACAGGCTGAAGCCGGCCCCAGCAGAGAAATCGCAGAGTTGCAACCACTGGGCACCATTGAGGAAGTCCCTCGTTGCAGAATTACTGTGACCAAAGAGCGGGACGGTCCAGACGGCCATCTGGGATGACTGGACACAAGACAGCCACAGAGGAGAAGTTAAAGTAGAACAGCATGACTTCCAGACGAGGGAAGAATTTTCAGGACACAACATGCACTTAAATTGTGCACAGAAGTACAAAGATTTAACCCCAAAACACTAAAGTACATGTGCAGTTAAATCAACAAAAAAGGATTGTTTAAAGACCAGAGCAAAAACACAAGTATGTGTGCACAAGACATAAAAAAGTGTCACTACCAAAAAAAAAAAAAAAAGATAAAATAGCGCAACTGTTCGCATCAGACGAAGTGAAACTCGAGTTCCCCCTCCATTAAGCAGGATATCTCACAGAAATAGAGAAGACTCTAGCCAACGCTAGCCAAGACCGCAGTGATGAATGCGCATGGCCCCCGCTGCCCGGACGCTGGAGAGGCCGCGGACCAGGGGGAGGACGCCCGCGCCCCCAACAAGGGACCCACCGGGGACGAGGGTCGCTGCGGCACTGAGTAACCAGCGGGCGTACGCGGGACACGGAGCTCCGCGGGGACCCGCCGGCCAGCGCCGCCGGCTGGCTTCGCCGGCGGCGAGAGCGGGTTAAGTCATGATTCCAACCCCTCCGGAGTGGACAGAAGGGCTGGGGGAACGGAGGGGTCGGATGGAACCGAGGGCCGGGCGGACCGAGAGCCCGGCAGCCTCTCGGGACCAAGGTCCACCCGGGGGGGGTGGGGGGGGCCGCCTGCTGGGCCGGAGGACACAAGATACCCCTGCCCCGCGTCTCCGGTTTCTCTCCGCCACCCCCAAGCCCCCTCCCCTCCCCTTTCCCTCCTCCATTACCCTCCCCGTCTCCCCCCGCCCCACACGCCCCCAGTCCGGCGCTCAGAAACCACTCGGGAGACTCGGGTGCGGGCGGCCGCGGCCGGCGTGATGCGCTAGGCGGGCAGCAGTCCGCGCGCGCGCAGCTGCAGCAGTGGGGCCAGCGTGTAGCGCAGGCGGCGCAGGGCGGCGTCCGAGCCCCGGCGCGCGAGGCCGCGGCGCAGGACCGAGGGGTTCACCAGCGCCAGGTAGAGCAGCGGCAGCGCCACGACGCCCAGCGGCAGCAGCAGCAGCAGCGTCTGCAGCGCGCCCAGCGCCCACAGCCTGCGGACCGACCACGCACCGGCAGATGGGCGCTGGCGGCGCGGGTCGCGCCCAGGCACCAGCCCCGAGCCCGCTCCCTCCGCCCGCTCACCTGAAGCCCGCCGCACCCAAGCCGAACAGCTGCTTCTCCTGCGGAGACAAGAGAACACCTTCCTGCCGGACGCCGCGGACGGGGCGGGACCCTGGGGCGCGAGGCTCGTGGGGGCGCGGCACCACGGGGGAAGCTCCCAAGCGGGCGCGGTTCTTGAGTGGGCGGCCCCGTGATGCTCGTGGTCCCCAGTGGGGTTGGTATGGTGAGGCGGGCCCCTGGTGGGGTCGGGGGGTCCCTGATGGGGTGCCCCCCACCGTGTGTGGGAGGCGGCCCCGCGGGGCAGGTGTCGGCTCCAGCCCGCCCCCTCCAGGGCTCACACAGTCCGCCTTGGCCACCTCCTCCATGAGCGAGCCCGCGCAGTCCTGCCCCCGGCGGGGCTGTGAGTCGCACCTGCCGGTAAAGGCACGAGGATGGGCCCTTCGCCTGGCCAGCAGTCGCGCCCCCCTCAACTCCTGACACCCGACAGTCTGACCCCCTTACGGCTCCGGGCAGCCGCGCGAGCTGTCGAGCGCAGCCGCCGCCTCCATCACCTTCCCCTGCAACTCCTGGAGCGGGTGGTGAGAGTGAGGCCTCACACGCGGGAAGACCTGGGTAGGGTGTGGGCAGGCCGCCGCGGCTCCGGGGAAGAGCGACGCGGAGGCCGCGGAGGGGGGGCGGCACCTGCAAGACTCCGCTCTGCTCCTGGAAGCTGGCCCAGGCCTCCTCCATCCGCCGTGCGCTCTGACACGAGGGGAGCCCTGGTTAGACGCGGTAGGGGGGACTCGGTCCTCCCCACCGTCCTGCACCTACCCAGCCTCACGCACACCCCAAGCCGGCCCTCCCGAGACCCCGATTCCGCCGCACCTGCCGCAGGGTCTCCGCCTGCATGGTGTGCTTGGCCTCCACCAGCTCCAGTTGTTTCTTCCGGAGAATCCAGGGAGAGTCAGGCGCCCGGCACTCCGCAAACGCGCCGCGCCTGACCCCGCCCCGCCGCCCCGCCCACGCCAGCGCCCCGCTCCCGAGCCCCGCCCGAGCACCTGCAGGGCCGCCAGTTGGGTCCCTAGCTGCTGCTCCGCCCGCTGCTGGCTCAGTTGCTCTCCTCCGTAGTAGAAGAGCTAGGGGTGGGGCTTGTGAGGGCGGGGCGGTCGGGGCTGCTAGGGGCGGGGACTATCCTGGGAGGCGGGGCGCGGGCGGGGACTGGGGCGAGGCAGCCCCGGGGGAAGCGGGAGACAGAGACCGTCTCCGGATGGTACCTGGCTTGACAGCTCCTCCCACTGCTCTTGCAGCTGTCGGTTCTGCTGCTCCTGGACGGGGTCGAGGGGAAGATCCAGGCCTCTCCGAGGTCCCCCCATCAGCGCGGGCCCCGCCCCACCTCAGACCCCCCCCCCCCGGCCACTGCCCCCGCCCACCGAGGTCCCGCCGCAGCCTACCCTCTCGCAGGCCCCGCCCCGCCATAGGCCCCGCCCCACCAGGGCTCCGCCCCATCCTGAATCCCTCCCCTCCACTGCCCCGCCCACCCAGAGGTCTCGCCTCAGCCTAGGTCCCGCCCTCTCGCGGCCCCGCCCCGCCAAGGCCCCTCCCTCTCCGCTGCCCCGCCCAGAGATCCCGCCTCAGCCTAAGTCCCGCCCTTTCGCAGGCCCCGCCCCGCCATAGGACCCTCCCTCTCTACTGCCCCGTCCATCTAGAGGTCCCGCCCCTCGTGGGCCCCGCCCCGCCAGGGCCCCGCCCCACCAGGTCCCGCTGGCGCTGCTCCGCCGCCTCCAGCAGCCCGCGCGCCCGGTCCGCGCGCTCCCGCGCCGCCTCGCGCGCCTCCCCACGCAGGGCCCGCTCCGCCTGGCTTCGCTGACGCTGCAGGCTGCGGAGGGGAAACTGAGGCTCCGTCCGCACACCGCCCGCCCCCTCGCGGTGCCCGCACGCCGGGCGCGGGGAGGAGCCGCCCGCACCCGCGCTCGCGCTCGCTCAGGTCCTGCAGGCGAGCGGTGAGGCTCTCGCTCTCGGCCTCCAGCCCGCGCACTAGTTCCTCCAGCTCCTGCTTCCGCAGCCTCCCGTCGCGGTTGTCCTTCTGCAGCTGCAGCAGCAGCTCCTGCGCCTCGGCCATGGTCTGGCTCTGCCCGCGGCCGCCGCCGGGCCCCGCGTCACAATGGGCCGAGCGCGGAGCGCTTTGGAACCGCACGCACCGCCGGGTGCTCGCGCCTGAAGCGGAGGGCGAGGCCGGCTCGTTCCCGCCCGCTGCCGGGGGCACTGCGGCCCGGGCAGCCTCCTGTGGGAAAGATCGGGTTCCGTAAACAAGTTTCCTGTCTCTGGACCCAGTGATCCCCTCCTGGGAAAGCCAGAGAAAGACAAATGCCATATGCTGTCACTTACAGGTGGAATCTAGGAAGTGACACAATGAACCTCTCTATGAAACGGATTCACGGAACAGACCTGTAGTTGCCAAGGGGGCCGGGTGGGGGAGGGAGGGATTGGGGGTTTGCGGTTAGCAGAGGTGAGCTGTTACGGGATGGATAAGCGAGGAGGCCCTACCGTACAGCACAGGGGCCTGTATTCACTATCCGCATAAATCATCGTGGAGGAGAATGCGAGAAAGATTGCACATACATGTATAACAGGGCCACTCTGCCGTACGACAGAGATAAACACAACACGGTAAACCAACTATGATTCAGTAACATTTCTCTAAAAAGTTCCTCCTCCTGCTCCTCCTTGCCTGCACAAGCCCATCCGTGGGCCCCTTTCCCAGGGTCTTGTTCTTCAGGGTTCCAGTCTGTCCTTCCCCTGCCCCAGATGGAAAGCCAGACTGGTCTAGACCCACGGTGGCTTTTAGCTTCCTTGTAGGATTCTACCAGTGAGATTCAGGGGTGGATGTCAGCTGGATGTGGGTTCCTGGCAGGAGGTCTGCCCCACTGTTAAGGCAGAGAGGCCCCGCGGTGGGTGTTGAGATGGGGAGGAACTGGGCACCACTGATGCGCCCCGCCCAGGGTCCTGCCCCTACTGCTCCGCCTGGTCCGCTGGGTTGGAGCCCCGTCAGTAAGTGCAGGTGGAGGTGTTGGTGTGAGCACCCCCCCGACACCAGCTCTGTGCCTCAGGTTCTGCACACGTCAGGTGGGGCTGACTCCCCCCACCCCGCCCCAGGTTGGGTAGCTGAAGGGCGCCTTGACCCCTCCCTGCCCCTGGTCTTTAGGAGGAGAGCCTCTGTGGGGAAAGACTGGGGCGGACAAAGCCTCCGGGGAAACGCAAGCCACTGCCTGGGCGGTGGGGCCCAGGGGCGGCAGGAGTCATGGTAACAGACCCCCAGCCAGCGCTCCTGCCCTTTGCTCCCACCAGACCCATGACAGAAGCACCTGCCGGCCTTCCCACCCAGCCCGCTGGCCTGGCTCTGCCCCTCCCCCAAGGACTCAGGTTCAAGGTCCTCCTCTGGGGCCTCCCTGCCCACCCAGGGGCCCCTGCGGAGGGGCACAGCCCAGGAAGGGGGCGGTGCCGGGCTCACCACCCTGTCTTCAGGACTGAACCCAGCAGCTGCACACTCCGCACCGTCAGCTGAGGGCTCTGTAGGATACCAGGACCTCAGTGAGTGTCTGACTGGAGAAAGAATTAGTGAATAAGCATAAAACCCACGCCTGCGGGGTTTTGTTTTTGTTTCCACATGTGAAACAGTTTTTGCCTGATAAGAGAGAAAAGGGGAATTCCCTGTGGTTAGGCCTCCACGCTATCATTGCCAGGGCCCGGGTTTGACTTCTGGTCGGGAACTAAGATCCTGCAAACCTAAGTGAAGTGAAGTGAAAGTCGCTCAGCTGTGTCCGACTCTGCACCCCATGGGCTATGCAGTCCATGGACTTCTCCAGGCTAGAATACTGGAGTGGTAGCCTTTCCCTTCTTCAGAGGATCTTCCCAACACAGAGATCGAATCCAGGTCTCCCATACTGCAGGCAGATCCTTTACCAGCTGAGCCACAAGGGAAACCCCCGTGTAAACCTAGCGGCACAGCAAAAAAAAAAGAGAGGGGATTTATACAAACCCTGATGTATCAAACAATGAATGACAGAGTCCCCCCAACGTGGGCCCACCGGCCAGGACCTGGTGCGTCTCCCACTCCAGCCACGGGGAAGCCACCTCAGTCCCGTAAACAGACCACGTGCTCTGAGGCCTCTGCTCTTGGCACAGGCTGTTCCCCACATGTGGGCGGCCCTGCCCGAGCATGTGGTCGACCAGCTCCTCACAGCCCTTCACCCACCTGTCTACCGGGGAGTTGTTGACTTACTGTGACTGTGATGACGTCTGTGTTCCCATCAGGAAGGAGCCCTCAGAGCACGTGCAGACAGACACTGGCCTGATCTCTGCCCAAGTCCTGGGAGTCCCCCCCAGGGCCCAGAAAAGCTGCCTGTAGCATCGCAAAGATGGAAGGTTCTGGGGGCCCCATCGCCAAACGAGTCTTAGTGTCTCGGGCTCCCAGTGGCCACAACCCAGCCCGCACCACACGCTTCTGCCAGGGCCTGTGGCCAAGACAGCAACACAGAGTGGATAGTGGTGAGAGAACTTCTGGAAGGACGAGGGGACGAAGGAGGAGCCTTGCCAGTCCCTTGGGGGTGGGGAGCACACCGTGGGGGGTGATATGACCCTGTCCGTGCCTGCTGAGGGCGGCAGGGGCCTGCGCCCTGGGGCAGGAGAGAGGGCCCTGCCCCTGTGGGCCGGCCCGCACTGCGGGTGATGGATGCCAACACAGACCGAGGGCTGCTTGGGCCCCTGCAGACTCACGTGGTCTGTGTGCCCTGTGGGGCTGAAGCATGCCCCCCAGCACCTCAGAATGTGACTGTGTCTAGAGATGGGTCTCTAGAATGGCCCGTAACCCGGTCTGACCAGGGTCCTCCTTCAAAACTCCCCAGGAAAACGATGTCCAACTGAACGGTAGTCATAAACTCCATGTCATCTAAACATTTTTAACATTTTAAGTCTCAAAACCTACTTCCCACGTGTGGTCAGGAAGGTTCTGGAGGAAATACACGTCACCCAAGGGAAGAACACCCGGGAGCCAGAAGACAGGACCGCGGATGCAGGACAGGAAGGCGGGGCGTCAGACCAACCTGTGCAGAACAGCAGGCTGCGGAATCGTGTCCGATTCGGTGGAAAACTGGCCCGGGAGGCATTTCAGGGCGAAAAGGTGGAGAATTGAAAAAATACGATCATTATTAAGCCTCCAGAAAAATAGAAACGGCCGATATACTCGCTGGCCGAGGAATAAACAAATGTGCGCCGTGATGGCCATCACGCACGCGCACTGCGCCGCGGTTGGTGAATGACCGCGAGTACGGCCACGGCCGCTTTGGCTGCCTCCGCTCTGCGACTCAGAGGCGAGTCGCCACGGAGATCGCGTGGCCCACCACTTACTATCTGGCGCCTTTCCGGAGAGTTTGCCAAGCCCCAGATCACACTGACTGCCTGTTAACTTACTCAGGGGTGTGAGGGGAGAAGAGGGTAGACATGACCCGCAGTGATCACCTACCCTGCAGCCAGCATGTGGCGGTGGGCTTGGAAGGACCAGAAACCATGTTTAGTTTTAAGCCTTTTTAAGAGCCATTTGATTATTCAAACTATCTTTGAGTACCGCTTTTGATAAACCAAAAAAATTAAACCCCTTTTTAAAACAGCTGAACAGAATGTACCGAGGGGTGCAGCAGCAAGGGCCATGCCGTTCTGGGGACTGGCCCACCGCGGGCCTGTAGCCGCCGGCGGTTCCTGGAGTCCGGGGGCCAAGCTGGACGGACATCCTTCCAGCCCCAGGCCGTCCCTCCTCCTGGATCTGTCTCTGCCTGGGACCCCCACTTGGGTTCAAGAGGGACAGTCCTCCAGGAAATGGGACCTACTGCACCCACCCTGGAGACTAACCTCACCCCCTCTCCCACTCCCCTACCATGTGACCAAGGAGGGGTGGGCAGGAAGGAGCCAGCCCTGCCCCAGCCCAACCCCGCTGCCCCAAAGGTGGTGCTGGGCACCGGCCAGCCCTCCTCACATCCTGGCCACCAGGTCCATGGCCCGTCTACACACCCCCTGCTTCTCAAACTGCCTCAGCCGGCTTCAGCCAACAGTGCGGACCCCACTGCCCAGCTCACCTGCCACCAAGTGAGGACCCAGGCCCCTCTGAAACTCACTCTTAGGACTGAGGTGGGCAGATGCCCCCCCACACACCCTGCAACCCAACTACCACCTCCCAGGTCCTGAAACCACTGGACAGAGAAAGGAAAGCAGTCGGTCATTCAGTGAAAACAGCCAGAGAACAGAGACCTCACACGAGTTTTGAATCAAGCTTTTAATGAAAAGATCATAAAATAACAGTATCTCGTCACTGTACATTAAGACTGCACGCTCTGAATGGAGACATCAGTGACCAGCTTTATGACACTGGAGGGCTCTGCACCCGCAGCTCTGACCTGAATTATCCAGACTCTGGAGGGAGGTGAGGGCAGTGTGGTGCCTGACAGCGGCGGTGGCCAGCACAGGAGTGCGATCGCGCGCCCCCTTCCTGGGAAGGGCGCCTAGCGGGACGTGAGTCTGCCTCCAGTTCCCGGTCAAGAAACAGCGAAACCCCATCCCCCCTCTCCGACGAGGTATTTGTGAATGGGCCAGCGCCCAACCTGGGGTCCCCCAGGGGGGGAGAGGGAAGCAAGTGGTGGGTGGGGGCAGAGGGTTCCCCTCAGCACCTGGCCCCATGGGGCCCCGCCGAGTGGCGGGGAGGAGCCCCGGGGACCCCTCCTGCCCCGAGTGAGGTCTGTTATGCAGCATATTTGAGGTCAATAAATTACAGCAATAAATAGCAAGGTGAGGTAGGGGGAGGGGCTCCCGGTAGAAAGTCGCAGTGGGGTGACAAGCCGGGGGTCCCGGGCAGCCTCGACTCCCAAGACACACCCCCACCCCCTGACGTGGAATGTCACACCGGGCTCTGGGCGGGGCTGCTCCACCCCTCCAGGCATCAGATTCTCGGGCTCTGTGACCACCGCTGCCCCGGGGGAGCGGGGGCCTTGGTCCCTGCACAGGGCACCGCCAAAGGCCCGGCGCCTCTGCTTTCGTCCCCAAGCCGCGGGGAGGGGCGGGCGGCCCAGCCCTCCTGGCTGCCCAGGCCTCACTCTGGCCTGGGATGGCTGCCGGGAGAGAGGCTGGGGTCCACCCGCCCCATGATCGATCGCACTCCTGTTAACGGCCAGTCCAGTGAATACTGACGGGTGGGGCTGGCGGACAGCCGGTGCCCCCGGGTGGCGGCCGCCGGGAACACAACCGGCTGCATGAGGTTCTAGGTCCAGTGTCCGTTTCACAGGCTGAGGTGTATGGCTATGCTGCGCGTCTCTGAGATCCAGATCTGCTTAAAGGTCCGTCTTCTCTTTTTTTTTTTTGCAATCCTGGAGGAGCCTCGGCAGCGGGCTCGGTCTCGCGGGGGAGCGTGCGTGGCGTGGCGTGGCGGAGCCCGGCCTGCCGCTCGCCCCCGAGTCTGAGAAATAAATACATTCATCACTGCACAAACATATTGATACAAAAACAACACTGTTCCGAGTGTTCGCACCGTCTGTGTAAGTAAGGACCGGCCCAGTGAGCCCTCCCACAGCTGGACCCGCTGGAGTCTCCGCGGAGCCGTGCGAAGGTCCTGGCTTTTTGGCTTGAGAGGGACCCTCACATCAACCCAGCGGGGGTCTCACGGGCAGAGCAGCGGGACAGGGTGCACCTCCATCCCAGGGCCCAAGCCCAGACTCGGTTCCTGCAGCCACAGCCGAGGCCGCCCTGCTGCGCCCGCTGGCCAGGACCGCTCCGCCTGGCCAGGAAGCCTGGGGGCCGGTGGGCGCAGGCCCCCGCTCTTTGGTGCCAGCTGGGCTGGGAGGAGGGCTCCACGAGGGCGGGGCCTCCACGCCGCCCGACCAGGGCGGCCCCCCTGCCCGTGAGCCCTCCAGGCCGACTCAGGGCCTCGGGCGGGAGGTGGGGGCTCACCGGACTGGCCTTACAGCTGCTGAGGTCTGAAACTGTAAAAGTTTATGTAAACAATGAGATAAATATATTAGTATCTTTCTTTTCTGAGCCCATTGAGGTTCCATATGCATTCAAAATGTGCTTTGGTTTAAAAAATAGCTTTTGTGAATTTGGGTGTGAGCTTTTTTTGTTTTAAAAAATCCTTTCCTACATGACATCTGCTATTTTGTTTCCTGTTTCTCCGAAACATTCAGGAATTAAGTGACTAAAGCAGAGAACTGTAAGCCGCCCTGGGCCTCCAATGGCCTAATCTCCTGGTGAGGCTCTGACACACACGTCCACACACTCACGAGCACGCACTCCACGTGAAACCAAGGGAAAAGGAGGACAAATCCAAGTGTCCTGTGAACCCAACCCCGCCCCACAAACCCTTAACGTCTTAAATAAGAAACTAGTGTTTTGCTTTCTTGTTAAAATACAGAGAAGGCTTGATCCAATACTCGGGGCGGGCACAATACTACGGCACGAAGGCCGCCTGAGGGCCTCTAGCCCCGTCCCTGAGGCTCTGCCCTGAGCCGCCTGCCTCACCCGGGCCGCGCCCACGGGCGTGTGCAGCTCCCGCTACAGACTTCCGTCGTGTGGCTTAAGTGCTGATGGGGGGGTTGGGTGAGCACGGGGGCTGGGGGGTCCTGCCCGACTTGCTGGAACAGGCGTCCCCAGAGGGAACGGCAGCGGGCTCAGCAGAGCCCCGCGCAGCCCGAGCCCCGTCACTCCCCATGCCCTCCACCCGGGCCCCTGGTTTCAGCTGGAGGCTCTCTGGAGGGGAGAAGGGATGACTCCGGAATTTTTGGTCTGAAATTAAAGTAGAAAAAAAAGAGAAGAAATAAAAGCAGGAAGCAAAATGAAGGAGATAAAGCCGCTGGTCCAGCCCTGTGACTGCAGCTGGCTAAGGACAGCTGCCAACCTCGTGACCTTGGCCCAAGCGAGCCTCTAGAGCCCTGCAGGTGTCTGAGGCTGGCGGAGCCCAGGCTGGGGGTGGGGCTCAGGGTGAGCCCATGGGGGCCGCCAGTCCGCCCAGAGGTGCCAAGCTGAAGGGGGCTGGGCACCGGCCAGGCTCGGGCTCCTGCTCTCCGGAGGGCAAGCCCTCGGGGGCCAGGGGCCGGGGCGGGGAGGGGCTCACTTCCTCCCCTGCTCCCCAGGCAGGGCAGCGGAGTGCCCACGCCCGCCAGGCCGGGTCAGGGCGGCAGGCTGGCCAGACGCGCACGAGACACGCAGGCGCCCTGCTGACGGGGCCCAAAGGAAAACACAAGTGTCGTGGCCACAGCTGCCATCACCAACCACGTCCTGTTAAGTCAAGAGGTAGCAAAGGTCAAAAGTCTCTCCACCTTGATGGGGGGGAGGGGGGTGACATGGTGCACACACACGCTGCACGCGCGCACGCACGCACACGCGCACACACACACACGGAGAAAATGGAAACGTACCAACCCCGCACCGCGGCCAGCCCCCCCGCCCCCCACACCTTCCAGTTCCCACACTCACATACACGTTACACGGGGTTTTCTCATAATCAAAACAAGTACCTCTAAACAAAGAAGATTCCTGGGCAACTATGGGAAAGCACTCTCTCCTGAGGCGACCGGGGGGCTCGGGCCCAGGGGAGCCTTTGGCCGAGAGGGGCTCCTGGGCCCGGAGGGTGGGCCCTGGCCGCAGCCGGGCGGGGTGGGGCGGCGCCCCGTACATTCAGTCTGCAGACCCAGGCTCAGCCCCGAAGGGCCGGGAGGAAAAAAACCTCTTATTGGTTTTGGTTTAAAAAACAAAATTCAAAACGAAGAAAAGAACAGATCAGTAGGAATAACAGCCACACCGGCCCGGAGGGCTCTTTAGCTGTAGAGAGGTAGGCGGTGGGGGCCCGCTGTCCCAGCGCCACTGAGCGGTGACCCCTGGCTCCGGGAGGGAGGGCGCGGACCCCTCCCTCCGGCACCGCCCCCCGCAGAGCCAGGCCGGCCCCGCAGCCCCGCCCCGCCCAGCGCGCGGGCCCCTGGGAGCCACCCTGCAGACCCCGCAGCGGCGGCTCCGCGGAAGGGCCGCGGATTAAAGCTGTGGGGGGCGGGGCCCGCCGGGTCTTTGGCTTCTAGGAGGGGGAGGTGTGCATGCGCAGGTGACTGATGAGGTTGCGCTGCTGCGTGAACTTGCCCCCGCAGAGCTGGCACTCGTAAGGCTTCTCGCCCGAGTGCACGCGCATGTGCTCCGTGAGGCGGTACTGACGCGTGAAGCGCATGCCGCACTCGCCGCACGCGAAGGGCTTGAGGCCCAGGTGGCTGCGCATGTGGCGCGTCATCGTGCCACGCTGCGTGAACATCTTCCCGCAGATGCCGCAGGGGAAGGGCCGCGCCAGCCAGTGCGTCTTCTCGTGCTGCCGCAGCGTGGCCGCGTCCTTGTATGTCTTCTCGCAGGCCGAGCACTTGAAGGGCCGCGGCCCGGCCGCCAGGGCCGCGCTGGGCGCCGACAGGTCCTCCGCCTCCTCGTCGGCGCCCGCGCTGCCCGCCTCGTAGGCGCCGCCCTCCTCCCTGAGCAGCAGCTCCTCCTCAGCGTGCGTCTCCACGTGCGCGTTGAGCTGCTCAGAGCTGGGGAAGCCCTTGGCGCAAGGGATGCACACGTACAGGTTGTCGCCGTAGGGCGCCGGCTCGTAGCCCTCCTGCCGGTACACGTAGGGCGCGCCGGCCGCGCCGCCCTCGCTGCCGCTCTGCGCGCTGTCCTCACTGCCGTCCTTGCCGTTCTCCTCTTCCTCCTTGCAGGGGTACGGGGGCTCCCCGAAGGGTCTGCCTGCCGCCGCGCTGCCGGCCAGAACGCCATTGGGGACCCTGTCGCCCAGCCCTTCGGCGTCCTCCCCCGGGCACGGGCCCTTGGGCGCCACATCCCTCCGCTCAAACGGGGAGGCGGCTACGGGCTCCTTCTTGGCCCACTCCTTCTTGCGGGCCGAGTGCCGGAGGCTCTTGCGGGGCGGCGGCCCGCCCGGCCCCTCCAGCAGGCACAGCGGGTTGTCCTCCGCCCCCTCCAGATCCATGGGCTCACTGAGGGCGCCCCCCAGCTCGCTGTAAGAGGCACTGTTGGCGACGGGAGGGGCAGAGGTCGAGAGGGGCGAGCCGTCCTGGCTGTCGCTCAGCTGGGCTGGGTCGTCGGGGGTGAGGGAGGGCCCGGGGGTGGCGGGGGGCAGCGGGGGGCTCTTCTTGGACAAGTCCAGGCCCAGCTCCTGCTCGCAGCTGCCGCCACCCCCGTTGGTACTGCAGCCGCCCAGGCCGGCCTCCCCGCTGCCGGGACAGACCGGCCGGCCCAGGCCATGTGCGCCCTCCTGGCTCAAGCCACCCAGAAAGAGCTCGTCGTCGGAGCCTTTGGCCTGGGAGAGCTCCTGGGGGGCGTGGGCCCCTTTGCGCCCGTCCACGAGGCCCGGGTAGCGGGTCTGGATGACCGAGGCCGTGGACAGCCGCTGGCTGCGGGGGGGCCGCCCCAGGCCAGCGCCACCCCGCCCGGAGCCAAAGGGCTTGCCAGCTCTCTTGAGCTTGCGCCGGCAGAGGGCCGCCAGCTCGGGCAGCTGGAGGTAGCTGGCGGCGGTGAGCAGCGTGCTGAAGTTGGGCTCGGCCGGCGGCTCGCCCGGCAGCAGGCGGCCGGTGTAGATGAAGTCCAGGATCTGCTGGAACACCGCGGAGCTGACCATGTCCGTGTCCAGGCTGATGAGGTTGTCGTGCAGCACCAAGGACTTGAAGTAGACGCTGCTGGCGGCCAGCACGTTCTTGTGGGCGCGGAAGACGGCGTTCTCCACCATGACGATGACGTCACACAGGAAGCCCTGCGTGCGCTGCTGGTTCAGCTGCAGCAGGAGCTGCTTCGAGTGGCTGGGCAGCTCCATGTCGGGCCCCATGTCCCCGCGCCCTGCCCACACGCACCACCTGCAGGCATGAGCAGACACGCACGTCAGTGGGGGCCCTCCTGGGGCCTCCCCCAGGCTGCCCGCCTGCCGCCAGCCCATCTGTACACTTGAAAAAGCAGGGACAACGGGGGCACACATGCAGGACAGACAAACCGGAGCTCCGTCCCCTAGAGGAAGGTGACCCCACGCCCAGACGGACCCGCAGGTGAGCAGCAGGGATCATGAGGGGACAGAAGCCCCTGGGGGACACATGGCCCGCGTGGGCACGCAGCGGTCCGCCTTTCCGTTCCAGCTGGAAATCGGATCTGCATGCAGAGTCGCCCAGAGAGCACTGAAGCCGCCTTCTCCTCAAATACCACGTGGGCTGGTCGGACCCGCAGCCTCCAGCAACGTCACGTGACGCTGCAGCCCGGCCATTCCCCCCGTCCCCCCGGCCTGTGCCTTGGAGAGGCGGCCTGGCCAAGCCGGGTACCACAGGGTCTGAGCCTGGTAAACCCCACAGACTGGCCAAGACGCGCTGGGAGGAATTCTCACTGGGAACAAATGCGCAGAGAGCCCCAAGGCGGCTGTGCCAGGCACGGCCCCGCCCTTCCGGCTGCTCTGGCGGGCGCGCGTGCCCACCTACAGGGGCCTTCCTGTCCCTGTGCTCAAGGCCCGGCCCAGGAGAGAAGCTCACTGCCCCAGCCTTTCTCCAGCCGGGATCCAGGGTCCCTGCCCTGCCCCCTCGGGAGGGGTCGCTACCTGCTGTCCTTCCCTGGCCTGCACCTGCCCTTGTCTGAAAAGACAGAGAAGCCCCCGCATCCCTGTCCACCCGGGAAGGCTCTGCGCAATGCCCACGTGTGCCGGCACTCGGGCCGCGGGAGCCAGCCCCCCTCCCTGCCCTGGCCAGCCGGGGGGGGACAAAGAGCCCAAGGCACACAACACCTGGCTGGGAACACCGAGGGCAGGAGGGCCTGTGAGCCCACAGCTCCTCCTCCCCCACGCTGCCAGCGCTGCCCGCACACAAAGGCCGGCGGCCAGCACGCAGGCGGGCGCTCAGCTGCCCGAGTCCCCAGGAGGAGGAACAGACCCCGCCCCCTGCCGCACCCCCAGCCCCCCCAGCCTACCGGAGTGCCAGGGGCCCAGAAACCATGTGAGCAGCAGCCAGGGGGGATGGCCTCCTCGAGTGCGTGGCCTCCCTGGGGGTGCATCAATGCCTGGTCACCTGCGGAGAAGGTGGACACGGTTAGCACGCAGGCCTCTCAAGGGGGGAGGAGCAGCTCGGGGGGCCAGAGCCAGGCTCCCGTCTGCGGCAGGGACGGGCCGTCCGGACAGCTGGGCAGGAGGCAGCGACCACAGTGCCTGCAGTCAGGCCGGTGGCAGGAGGGAGGCAGGTGGGGGGCGCTCGGCCGCACCCCCACAGGAAACAGGGTGCTCCAGGGGCCGCCTCGGTCGGGGGGGTGGGGGGACAGGCACGCAGCTCGCGGCGGCAGGCGGGCAGGGTGGCAGGAGGCCTGGGCAAGGCCCTTCCAGGCTGGCCACATTTACATAACAAAAGGTCAGAAATGGAGGCGCTGGTGCAGCGGGCTATTTATAAGATCCAGTCTCAACCGCTTCTGGCTCCCCAGCCCCCTGCCCTGCCCTGCCCTTCCCTCTGGGTCTGCGCTCTCCCCCTCCCTGCCCAGAGCCCAGCCCCCTCCTGCCCAGCCCGGCCTGACCACATGGCCCTCGCAGGCTCGCCCTTTCAATACCAGCCCGCCAAGGCTGCTGGCAGCTGCCGCCAGATGCAGGCAGGCTTCCCGGCCCCCCCAGAGCTTCAGGTCCTGGGAGAGGGGTCCCGAGGTCCTGGCTGCTTGCCCCCCCACCACAGCAGGCCTGGGCGCCCTGGGCGTGGAGCCAGGCAGGAGGTGGCGGCCGGGGCCCGGAGCCCCTCCCTGCGCGCCCCTCCCCCGCCCAGGGCCAGGGCAGCCCAGCAGGTCCTCAGGAATGTGCCCAGACCCGGGGTGCGGGGTGGCCGGGAGGCCTCGCTCCAGCCTGCCAGCTGTCTCCTGCCCCCAGCACGGCTCCCCGCTGGCAGGGGTGGCTGGGGAAGGGGTCAGCCCAGCTTGCCAGCAGCTCAAGGCCCGCTGGTGTGGGGCCACTGCTCGGCCTGGCAAAGGCCACCAGGGGCTGGAAAGGCCCCGGCAGCCGGCCCGGCCGCCCCACCCCACGCTGCTGCCTTCTTCCAGCGCCCACTCCACAATGCCCGGGGCCCGGCCGACGGACAGGTCAGACAAGTGGGCTGGGGGCTGTCCCCGCTAGGCTGACCCTGACACCCCCCAAGGAAGGGGTCTCTTGTGAACAGAGGCCCTGGGTGACTCTCCCAGCCCCCTGCCCCCAGGACCGCTCCCCCGCTCCCACAGGGCCGCTGCTGGGTGAGCTGACAGGTCCTGGCTGAGGTCCCGAGTGTCCTTCCCCCCCCAGCTCAGGCCTCAAAAGGCCAAGGTGGCCGGCCCACCCTGCCCCCCGGAAGGCCAGGCCCTACAGCTAGGCAGGGCCCCCGGCCTCGTGGGGGGGCTCTCCTGGCAGCCAGGAGGGCAGGAGGCAGTGAGAGAAGCCCTCAGGTGCTTCAGCCAGATTTCACAGCAGCAGGTCCAACTCGGCCTGGACTACCACGGAGCCCGGAGCCGGGGAGGCTGAGCCCAGCCCTCAGGCTGCCTGTCCTTCAGCCTCCACGTGGAAATGCCCAGGAAACACCGGGCAGCCCTGCCTCGTCGGGGCCTGGCAACAGGCGCCCCTCCCTTCAAGCAGAGACGGGGGCATCCCAGCCCACCTCCGGCCCACCAGGGAGCCATGGGCCCCTCATGATGCCCACTACCTGGCCGCCATGCCCCAGGGCCTGAAGCACAGTGGGTGAGTCACTGAGACCGCAGACTCACGCTGGCCACTGCCCCTCAAGCCTGGGTCCAACCGACCTGGCAGGACCACCTGACAAGCATCCTGCCCACAGGGAAACCTCCAGGGCATGCCCTCCGCCTCCAGTGCAGATGAGACTGGGACCCTGGGGGTTAAGCAACCTGCCCAAGGTCACCGGAGCAAACCAGGAGCAGAGCCCTGCTTTGGACTTTGCCACCCAGGACGACCCCCGTGTCTCCTCCCCCCAGGGGCAGGACGGGGTGCCGGATGGCCCTCTTCTCCCCCAGTCCGACGGTCCGCTGACGGCCTCACCGTGGGGCCTAGGCCACACCCGCCGCTCCCTGGCCTCCGCAGACTCTCTGGCTGCCCTGCAGGTGGGGCTGCTGGCGAGTAGGCCCCATGGCCCTGGTAAGCCCAGGCCTGGATGCCCGCCAGCCACTACTGGCTGGTCTCCCAGCCCGTCCTCCTGGAAAGCAACGGGCCCTGTGAATGCCAGAAGCCGGGCCCTCCTCTCGACGGGATGCCCAGGAAACAAACGCTGGGGCTCGGTCAGCGTGCTGCAGACACGTTGGGCAGGACCCGGGTCGGGCCTCCCAGCCTGAGCAGCGTGGGGAGAGGCGCCCACCCCACCCACTGCCCAGAGCCTGCTCCCAATGCCCACAGCCCCTCTGTCCCACACAGGCAGCCCACCCGGGGGGCTCACGGCGCCGCGCAACGCCTGGCAGGAGGCCACGCCCGCTCTCCGCGGGAACCCTGTGTGTGCCCCTCACCCTCCTCCGGCCGCCCGTCACCTGCCTGCACAACGCGGGGCTGCGGCCAGCTCCCCCTGCTGGCCCTGGCACGGATGGCCAGTGGGCACTGGGCAGGCGTGAAGCAGGGTCCTGCAGGGAGGCTCCGAGCAGGAGTGCTCAGATGGGGAGGAGCAGGGAAGCGCTGCCCAGGGTGAGATCACTGCTACAAAAACATCCAGATGAAGTGCCCACCCTGCCTCCCCCTGCCCAGAGGGGCCTGAGCACTTGGGAAGTGGGCAGCGGGCAGCAAAAGAGAGGAGCCTGGACGCAGGGAGACCGTGGCAGGCTGGGGGTGCCACTGGGAGTGTCCCCACGTGGCCAGGATCCAGGGCCTAGAGGAGCTCCCACAGCCGCTCCCTACTCGCCCTGCAGGCCCGTTCTGGGGAGCAGATTCAGGGGACGCAGACAGTCCGGCCTCACTCTGACCCCAGACCCAGAACCTGCACACGCTGGACTGTGGGAGACCAGCTTCCTACTCCCCAGAAGGCCCGGAAGGCAGGAAACCCCCAGCGACGGGGGACAAGAGGAAGGAGGTGGCCCCCAAAGGGAAGACACCTTTCCCACGTAAACACGCCCGGAGTGACTAGGAAACGGGGCTCGGCTCCCAGGGCTGTCCTGGAGGTGGGACGGGGCCGCAGATGTGCGAGGGGTTGGGCTGCCTACTGGGAGGGACCGGCACCGTCATCCACCTGCCCAAGGCGCCTCCTCAGCCCAGGGCCCCCCCAGGACGCAGACTCCGACACCCCAAGTATGAAGCAACCCGAGAAGGTAGAAACCTCTCACGCTAACCAACAACTCTCAAAGATCTGAAAGACAAAATAAACTGTATCACCTTCCATCACCACTTCTCTGTACTAGATGAGGGGATGCTTCCCCACTGAACAACAGGAAGAACCCCTTCAGGGTGGAGGTCCTTCCCAGGAAAGGGAAGCCAACCCCTGCACCTGCGTGGCGGCAGAGACACCCGAGCGGCTGGCACCCAGGCCCCACAACAGAATCATAGAAACAAAACCCAAACTGGGTGGCAGACAGCAAGGACAGGGTTCAACCGGCTGACCAAAGACTGAAAGCGGACTTCCGGGCAGTGAGAATGGTCAGACTTTAGAAAGACCAAGATGAGAGGCGCGCAAGCCCCGGGAGCCAAGCAGGTGCAGAGCGCCGCGGCAGCGCGCAGGCCAAACCGGGTTCAGAAGCGCTGACCACGGGCACATCCTGCAGCCGCCAGCAAACGGGTGAGCAAGGCAGCCAGACCCTAAAGGGGCACAGGTGCCCTGGGCAAGGTCAGAAGCAGGTGAGGACAGGAGGGGGGACAAGGGAGTGGACAGGACTCGAGGACACACAAGGGGCTTCTGTTCTAGACGTGGGACGTGTGTCCATCTGGGAAGAGCCTGGGGTGCGGTCGCTCACAGTTGGCACACTTCTTAGGCAGGGTCAGTGCAGGGCCAGGCCCAGGGCTGACGAGCAAGACCACCCAATCCCAGACTAATCACAAGAACCTGAGGGGAGAAACAGCCCTGACGGGAAGGAAGGAATCCCCAAGCCCAGCCAGGAACCTGCAGGACACCGAGGGACCACCTTCAAACCTCTCAGAGGGGACTTCACCCTCCAACGCAGGAGCTGTCGGGAACTAAGACCCCCTCACACCTCGTGGCCAAGGAGCAAAAAGACGAAGCGATACTGGAACAGAGTCAACCAAGGCTTTAAAAATGGTCCACGTCAGAAAAACCTTTACAGATAGAAACCACCAGAAACCACTCATCAGGGCGGGCAGGGGTCGGGCAGCCAAAGGCAGCAACCACCGAGACACTAACTGTCCTGGTGTCCAGCTGACACCTGCAGGGGGTGGGGAGGGGCTCTGCAAACCCCGGCAGGCACGCCCAGGAGGCGCTGGATGAGGCCCAGGATTGGGGTCAAAGGAGGCCACAAGCAGAAGGGTCTGCCTGGCCTGGAGGGCCTCCCACCACAGCCCAGGGGCACGCCAAAGTAACCACCAGGTTGCTCCAGCCCACGACCATAAACGCACAAGCAGACCCATCTCAGGCACCCACCAGTTTTTAAAAAATCATTTTTAAGGATAAAAATAGGGAACTGCTGAAGAACACACTACAGGCTGTGCCCTGGGCCTGTGCCCTCAAAGGAGGTCCCATCAGTGCAGCAGGCCCTGTGGCCGACCGCAACAGGAGAGGCTGAGCTCGGGAAGGCAGCTAGACAGGAGGGTCCTGGGACTGGCGGGAACCCGCTCAGAGCTTCATCAGAAGGGACTAGTTAAGGGACCGCGTCCAGTGACGAGATGGGAACAGCCCGCCCTCCGCCACAGGAAGCAAAGCGGCCCGAGGGGGTGACCGTGGACTGCTGAGGCGGGGCAGGAAGCAGGACTGCGGGGACCCGCGGGATGGGGCACAGCGACTCCCAGCACCCAGCTGAGTCTCAGAGGCACGACCAGCACCCCGCTCCATGGGCAGGACAAGCCCGCCGTCCGAGGACCCGGACAAGTGTGGGGAAGTGGCATGCGCCCACACTGAGAGGTGGGGACCCCAGGAGGGGTCGCTTCTCACAGGGGCGACGTGTGCACGCAGCTCGTGCCACCACCTCAGGTTAGGAGAGCCAGCGTGCTGGCCGCGGGGGAGACAGTTTCCGGATCCAGGGAAGGGCCCCCCAGCCACGTGGCCGGGGACGCGGGAGGCCCGCGCAAACCCGCAAACCGGGGCTTTGGGGGCCAGGCCCACAGGACACGTCCAGGAGCGCCTCCCCCAGGAGGAAGGTGGGAGCCACGGGGAAGGAAGCTGCAAGTCCAACACAGGTGCCCCCTCGAGCTGGGGCCGTCAGGCCTGAGTTATCTTCCCAAACCCGGGTCCATCCAGTCATGCCCCGGCTTAGGGCTCTCAATGGACTCCCGGGCCTGGATAAAGTCCACATGGGGGCTGGTCCGTGGAGGGCTTCCAGAGGGCCAGACCGCCCCTCCGTGGCCCCCAGGCACGCCCGAGGGCCTCCTCCTCCGAGTCGCACCTATCTCCCCCACCAGCCGCCAACACGAGCTGCCACCCAAGGGGCTCCCAAGGCCAGGGACCGTGGGTCCCCCCCCAGCTGGCAGGCAGGCCAGAGGGGACAGGCCGGGCTGAGGGAAGGAGGCCCCTCAGACGACGGCCAGCCTTCCTCAATCCGACACTTAAGCTCAATGAGCAGCAGCCTCTGACGCTGCACCTGTGGCCAACTCACACCCAGTGGCACAGGGCTCCAGGAGCCTGCCCTGCGCTCACACCCAGCCCAAGTCTGCACCACCAGGCACCGCTCATCCAGAAAGCAGTCGCTCACGGAGCTGATCGGATCTTCCCGACGTGGTTGGACGTGGTTAAAGGACACGCGTTCCCGTCGCCGCAGCCACGTCACAGGAGACCCAGAGGCCTTTCTCAAGACCCTCCCTGGCCTCCCAGGCCACAGCACTGAGCACGGTCTCCCTCCCGTGGGAGGCCCCCCGTTCACCCCAGAAAAGGTCCCCAGGTCTGAACCACCACCTTGCCCATCAGCCCCTCTTTCATGAGCAGTGGCGGGCAGACGCAGTGCTGTCGCAGACACGGCCTGCCCTGCTCGCCCCAGAGACCATGCGATACTGTGTCCCCTGGAGTCGAGGCTCACCGCTGGGCCTCCCGCACGGCTCTCCAACCGGCGGCCTGGCCCAGGCACCCAGATACGCGCCACGGCCAGCACCGAGGTGTCAGCAAGCAGACGGAGGTCGGTGGGGAACGTCTGAGTATCCTGAGTGTCCAGGGGACCCCAGGGCTCTGCAGGCCACACTGAGAACTGTCGGACACCACCTCAGACACTCCTGCCCCCCCCGCGGGCACCGCACGGCACCTGGAGCAAACAGGCCTGACGGCAGGGCCCACGCCCCCAGCTGCTCACCTGGAAGCCCAGGTGAGGGCCTACACCTGAGAGAAGCGGTTTTCAAAGACAAGAAACGAAACACCACTTTAGGTGGCCTCCAAGAACAGCCTCAGAAGCAGGACTCGCCGCCTGCAGAGTGGGCAGCCCCAGGGGCTGGGCACAGAGGCGGCGGAGGAGCAGGGTGGGCTCCAGGGGCACAGGTGCCGCCTGCCCAAGGCGCTTATCAGTGTCCACATGCATGGAATGCAGGCTGTGGAGAGCGCCCCTACCCTGCCCACAGCCTCGGGGCGCAGGCTCACCCACCGCAGCTCCAGGGCACCCGGGCCCGGCCCCCACCGGCAGCCTGGCGTAGGCGAGGAAGACACCCACTGGGGGGGCCCAGGGCTCCTCCCACGGCGGCCAGGATTGCCCCAGCCCCCCAGGCCCTCTGCCCAGAGATGACCCCGTGCGCCCCCACACTGCCAGCACCTCAAGGAGGACCCACCAGCTCTGACCCACCCTCCTAGAAGGGGCACAGATCCAGACCCTGGGGCAGAGGAGAAGGGCCGTTTCGGGAAGGGTCCTCCTGGCCCTGAGGCCCAGGGAAGCGATGCCGGGTCCACACCCGGTCCCCGGCAGTAGCCGCCCCCACCCGGCAGAACCCCAACGGCCCTCCAGAGAAGGGGTTTCCCGCCCACCGCCCTTGAGTGCGAGCCTGTCCCGTGGGCTCACTCCACCCCCGAGGCCCCACCAGGGGACTCCCCACCGCGAGCAGAGCCTGCCTGGGCCGCTCACACAGCGGGGCTTGCCCAGGGTGCCCGTACAGGCCAGGAGCCCCAGAGGGAGGCCCGCCCTCTCATCCCACTACCCCCACCACCCCGTCCGGAGCTGTGGGCACCTTCTTCCTCCCGGTGTCCAAGCAGAGCTGCTAGGAAGAAACCGCCAGCCCCTCTCCACCAAAGGGAAGGGCCTCAGGCCCCGGGAAGGCGGGTGAGGGAGCCACACAGCCCAGGACCGCTCCCTCCCATGGCAGAGCCCATGGGCCCCTGTGCCAGACGCGCGGGACGCGAAGAGCAGACGAGGGGTGCCCCGACTGCTTCCTGCTCCGAAGGACACCCAGCGGCTGCTGCCACCCTCGCCACACCCAGCGGCCTGGCCGCGCACCGTCCGCCGGCAGCTGCCCAGAGCAGGCGGGGGCCGAGTGCCGGCTGCCCTCAGACGGAAGGAGCCCGGGTCGAAGCGGCTGGCTGGCCAGGCCTCACCTGAGGTTCTGGCCCCAGCGCCCCTCCCAGCCCTCACCCCGCCTCCAGGCCGTGGTCAGGGGCTCCCTCACACACCATCCTAGGTAACAACCTCAGGGACCCTCTCTCCCAGGCACCATGAGATCAAGGCGAGAAAGAGGGGGCAGGAACCAGTCCCAGGGGCCCCAGCAGCAGCCCCAGGGGGCTTATTTGGGAAGCAGGAAGAGCTCCCAGGTCCCCACGCCTGGGGAGAGAGGCCAAGCAGGCCCTCAGAAGGCAACCCGGAGACCAGAGCAGGCCGCCTGAGAGCCAAGCAGGGCCAAGAGCAGCAAGGGGTCCCCGGGACCTCCTAGAAGGTGCTCCCCAGCACACACCAGCCTGGCGACCCTCCCACAGCCACCTGAGGAAGAGGGGCCATGAGAAGCGTGAGCCCACTGCACCCGATGCTCCTCCAGGACCCTGGAGCCTACAGGGGGATCGGCCGGTTGGGCTCGCTCTGTAAGCGGGACCCCACGGGGCAGCCTGGGACCACCGCTGCTCGTCTAAGGGGACTCACCGCTCCCTTGACCCTGTTATCTACAGAGATTCACCTCCTGGGAAAGCAGTTGTGGGATCCACTTCAAAGGCTTCAGGGACTGTGGATCCGTGGGCTCCAGGTGATCCCTGCAGAGCGGAGCACCAGGGCCCCCACCGGACAGCAGGCACTCGGGGCCGGGTGCAGCCCCTGCCGGTCACAGGGCAAGTTCCCCAAGGAGCCGGGGGGTGCCGCCCCAGCGTCCTGGCCGCCACCTCTGCGCCCCCTTCTCATCCATCCTGCAACTACTCACCAGAGCTCACTGCTAGCTTCCGAGCAGCACAGGCAGAAGAGCCACAAGGCCTGGAAGCAGGCTGAGGAGAAGGCCAAAGAGCTGCGACCCGAGCCTGGGCGAGGGAGACCTCCAGCAATCTGTGTGTGCGTGGGGGGCGTTCCCAGGGCACTGGGGCAGCCCCCTCTCACTCTCGCCGGAGAACCCACCTCGAGGTGCTACTGGGGAAGAAGCCCAAGGCCACGGGGGCAGCGCAGGCCACGGGAGGCCAGTGCGCACAGCGACCACTCCAGGGCCGCAAGAGGCCAGCTCCCCACCTAGAGGCCCCCTCCCCACCAAGCCCGGCTCCGCCTTCCCTTGCGAGCCTTGGAATTCCCAGGAGCGGGAGCGCCCCGGGCGCCCCCAGAGGCCGGCCACCTGCCCTTCCGGACTCCTCCCTCCTCGCCCGCACCCACGTGCTCGCGGAGGCGGCCCCTCACAGGAAACAGGCACGCACCGACCGCACTGGCGGCGCCCGGGCGGAAGGGCCCGCTCGAGCCCCCAGGCTCCGCCCCCACCCCACCCGCCGGGCAGGCGTCTCCGGGGGTCTCAGTTCGCTCGCGGCCTGGCCACACCCTCCCGGGCCGCGCGCCCCAGGCCCTCCCCTCACGGACGGCGCTGGGGCCTGGAAGCGGCTCCCTCCAGGTTTGACCACCCCCCTCCCGACCGAGCGCGGCGGCGGGGGGGGGGCCCACTCGCAACCCCACCCGCCCCCACCTGCTTTTCTGGCTCGGCCGCTCCCAGGAGCCCTCCCCCAGCCCAGGTCCCTAACCCTCGGGCTAAGCCCCTCCCAGCAGGAAGCGCAGCCCGGCCGCCGGGCCGAGTCAAACTGGCCCCGCTGGCGGGCAGCCCCTAACCTAGGGGGAGCCACGCTGGGATCCCGAAGGCCCCCAGCCCCAGGCTGTGAGTGAACCCCGGGTCCGCAAGGGCGCTGCATGCGCAGCACAGCCCGGGAAACTCACAGAGCCTCCACCTCCCGGCCAAAGGCGCGCCGCTGGGAGGCAAGACTGAGCACCAGAGGGCAGAGACCCAGGCCAGCCCCGCGCAATCGGGATGGGCACCGCATCTATTCTCAAAACACTTCGCTGAGCGGATAAAGGGCCACTGCACAGGCTCGCGGGTGCCCGACGGCAGCGGGGGCGCCGGCTTCGCAGAAGCAGGCACCTACAGGGCCACGCTCCTGTCCCCCTCCTCCTGACTGAACCCTGCCTCGCTTTCCCAAACCGCAGGGCTCCCCGTGAACACCCTCCTGCAGCCGGCCGGCCCTCAGCACCTCCTGAGGTGCCCAGGGCGCTCCCCCGTGTCACCTCGGGTTCCCGGAGCCAGTGTGCCCAGCAGCTTCCCCAAGCTGAGCTCTGGAGGACCGCGAGACGTGCTGGTGAACTCCAGCTCTGTCCTCACTTTGGAAGCACGTTAGAGACACCGAGGCCCAGAGGAGCCCATCTCGGTCCAAGGCCGCTGGAGAGTAAACAGCGCTGAGGCCAGTGCCCCTCACTGCTCCCAGAGGCCCTCCTCAGTCAGGCGCTCAGGCCAGGACCAGAGAAAGCTGACCTGTGGTCTCCTCTCTGCAGATGCAGCTGGGAACAAGAGCCCTCCCCAGCCCTGTGATCAGTCCCTGGCGGGGGGGCACGCTGGCCCTCAGCCCCGGTGGGCAAGGCAGGCCAGCCGTGGGTGGGGCCGCCTGCTGGAGGCCACCAGGCCAAGCAAGAGCAGGGCGGCGGGTCCCCTGGGTAAACTGGACTTTATTCCTTCCTCGCTCCTCGGCTCTCCAGAGCTGCCCTGCCAGCCCTTGCACGGGGGCGAGCTGCGGCTCACAGACACTGCCCCCACCCCGCTGCCACCTCCAGGCAGACAATGAGGACTCGGGGAAGACAGCAGGCCTGTCAGCTCAATAATGCAAAACCCTGTTGCTGAGTCCACGACAGCTGACTTCAAGTGGATCGGAGGCTGTGCTTATTAACAAAACGAGAAACCTGATCCATGGAAAGAAAACACTACGCGGGGATTAATCCAGGGCTGCAGCTTGTGGAGAAGGCCGGGCCGCTGGCCAAGACCGGGCAGGGAGCACGGGACGCGGCCTACCTGTCCCTGGCAGGTACCTGGCTGCAGGACAGGGCACATCACCTTCGCCCCCCTCCTTCCAGCAACTACAGCAATCCTTTCAGTTCTGCTTTAATTAAAGGCTTGGCTCCCTCAGGCTGCTTCTTCCTCTCCCCAGAGCCAGCAACCAGAGGGAGATTTTTCTTTTCAGGAATTGCTTGTAAAAGCCGAATGACTAATCTGCAAGTCCCAACAACTGGCAGGAAAACACTGCAGAGAGAAACCCTGGGCACAGCCCCAGCACTCGAGCCAAATGGCCAGAGGAGCTGGGGCAACGGGCGCTCAGCAACACCCAACAACCGGCCCGCAGCCGGCTGGGAGCCCAAGGGAAACAGACCAACTTGGGAGCGCTGCCGCCAAGGCAGGTGGGAAGCTCCCTGCCAGCCTTCCCAGGCTACTGCCTGCCCACAGGACCTCACAGGACTGACTTCCCTGGCAGGCAGGGCCACTTACTCCAGACCTCAAGTATCAGCCTCTCACCCCCACCCCCCATGGTGCTAAGAGCCAGCTAAACTAGCGATCTCACCGCACAGCTTTGTCTCTGGAGGCCAGCCGGTGGCTAGCCCATCTGCCTTTTTTTTTTTTTTTTAAGACTACTGCAGCGACCCTGCTCTCTGCTGAGCGGAAGCCCACTCCCAGAGCCAGGGCTACAGACCAGCCACATGGCCTGTGCTCTTGAAAATGTCTGCTGAAAGGCCCAGGGAGCCCAGATGCTGGCAGATGGGAACGCAGGAGAAGAGTAAAGCCAGGAGCCAGGAAGCAATAAACGCTAGCTCCAGAAAGGGCCTGGTATGGGTGACCCGGCTCCATCCCTACGGCCAGGGGTGGGGGGCCTGGAGAACACCCCCAGCAGCTCTGGAAGGCCCCTCCGCTACCTGCCCCCTCCACCACCCCCCGCCCCGCACAGCCCTGCGTCCATCAGTCAACAATCTTCACCCACAGGATTCCTACGGCAAGGCTCGGCCCCTCCCCCCGCCACAGATGTCAGAGAGAGGGGCGGCCTCCCCGGGTGACGACTCCTCCTGCCGGGTTGGGGGAGCCCGGGACCCTCAGTTATCCAGATGTGCTTGGCAACTCCTACGGGTGAAACACACCGGAGGTGGAGGGGACCCGAAAAACGCGGTAAATAACTTCGAAACCGTCCCGGCCCGGGCGGATCCACAGCGGGCTCCCTTCCCCGGGGCCGACTCTCCGCTGTTCTGGGTGGGGCCGCTGTGGAGCATTTTATCTGGGCCGCGTCCCCTCCTCCCCGTAAGTCACTAACACCCCCACCCCCAGGGACAGGGATCGCCGCCTCTCCCCCCTAAACACCCCACCCCAGCTCCGCCTGCGTGAGTATGAACCATGCTGGCAGATAAACAGAGAGTGACACGCCGGGCCCTGCGGCCCCCTCCCCCTGCCAGCCGCCCCCTCCCCCAGCCCATCTCTCTTCCTGCCGAGCGGCCGCCTGCACCAGAGGTCTGGGGGCAGGGCCGCGCGCCCACCCGCCGCAGGGCCTGGCCCGGGGGAGAGGCCCCTCCAGGCCGCCCCTGCCCCCGGCCCTGGCCCTGCCCGCGCGCAGCCGTGCCCTGCGGGCAGCGGGCCGGGCACAGCAAGAAGCCCCGCGAGGGGCGGCGGCGGCATAAAGGGGGCCCGCCTGTCAGGCAGCGCGGCTCCCCGGGCCGCTCGGACCGGAGCGCGGAGGAGCAGGCACAAAGAGCCGGCGCCCGCCGCCCGCAAGCCCCGCGCGCCGGGGGCTTTGTGCCGGGCCCCGCCGCCTGCCCCCCTCTCACACACACACACACACACACCCCGCGGCGGGCGGGCCGGCGGCTGGGGGTCCCGCCCCCCTCACACGCGCGCACGCACGCACGCACACACACACACACACACACACCCCGCGCGCGGCGACCCCTCGGCGCGCGCCCGCCCACGCCCCTCTCCCGGGCGCCCCGCGCCCCGCGCCCCTCACCTCACCTCGTGTGCGTCGGCGGCGGCGCTCGCCCGCCGGCCGGCCGGCTCTCCCTCGGCCTCTTCCTCGGCGCCGCCCGCGCCCGCCCGCGCCGCCCGTCCGCCCGCCCGCCCCGCCGCCGGCTCGGCTCGGCTCGGCTCCCCGCCCCGCGCGCCGAGCGCCTCTCACAGCCGCCCGCTCGGCGCCATCTTGGAAGCTTGTGACGTCGCGCCGCCCGCTCACCCCTGACCCACATCTGAATGGGCGAGCGGCGCCGCGGGGGCGGGGCCTGCGGGCGGGGCGGGGCCGGCGGGGGCGGGGCCTGGCGGCCGCTCGCGACGACACGGGAAAGGGGCGCGCGGGTGGAGCCCCGGGACCTGGTCTCCCCCTGCCCACGGGTGCAGGGACGGCGCCGCGACCTCAGCCCCAGAACGCCCGGACCGCACCCCCTAGAAGGGGGCTCGGCCCCCCCACACGGAGCCGACCCTCCCCCCCGCCTTGAGCCTGACCCTGACCCCTGGCATCCCAGGTCCGTCCCCGCCCCCCCCCCCCAAGGGCGGCCAGCGTGGTCCGCAGACGGCCTTGATCTGCAGAAGGAAGCCCTACAGCCCGCCGGCCCTACTTGCCCCGAGGGCACGAGGGTCCCACTCGCCGAGCCCAGCTGGCCCCTTCCGGTGGTTGCAGCCCCTTGCGGGCCCCTGGGGTCAAGCGACGCGCCCAGGTTGGCAGGCGGGACCCAGACGGTTCGGAGGGGCTGGAGCGGGCCAGGGACTGCGACGTGCTTTAGGGGGTCACTTGCTGGACCGCTCCTTACTTTGGACACCAGGTAAATACAGGACATCGCACCTGAAGTCTGGGAGGGACCCAAGTTTGCCGGCAAGACTAGAAGCGCGTTCTTCCAAATAAACTTGTACGTTTAATGAAACTCTAGTTGGACGGTTATCAGACTTAACAAAATTCTAACTTGACCTGGAAGAGTAAAGAGCCCCAAACAGCTATCATTTCCCGCCTTAGGAACGAAAACAGGAACGAGGGTGGACTTGCCCTAACATATGAAAGCAAATAGTGAATGCAGCTACTGCACTCAATTCAAAGCACCCTAACCCAGAAACAGAAAACCTACAGACAGGTCCCAGAAACGGCAAGAACGTGATGGAAAAGGAAGTATGGAACATCAGTGGCGAATCTAAGACACAACCCAGGAATAAGCTCAGGGGAAGACTTACTGAAGAAACTACTGAAAAGCTGTCAACGCCCTACTAAACCAGAGACTTGCAGATTAAAACTTCTGTTTGTTTGCTTTTTTAACAAATCGGAAATCAGTTTCAAATGATAACCTTGACACATAGTCAGAGGTCTGGTGGGTAATCCTTCTCCTGTACTACTGGAAGCATATAAATTGCCTCAACATTCCTGAACATGAATTTGCCAGTGGAAGCCAAAAATAAAAATGTTTTAAAATGATCATTACTTTGACAGTAATTCTTTTTCTGGAATTTTGTGCTAAGGCAATTAATGGTGTTTGTACACTGCATGTTTGACTGTCCTCTTTATCCAGACTGGATTCGGAACCCTGGGTGCCAGGGAGCACACCTGAGACTTATAGGCACTCCCTGGTCATTCATTTAATTTGCATTTGAAAATTATTATATGGGGGACAATCCTCAGTGTCTTTAATAACATATAACAGAAGAGAATGTGTATATGTTTAATTGAATCACTTTGCTGTACACTTGAAACTAAAACAACTTTATATATAAATCATCTGTATTTCAATAAAATATTTTAAAATTAATGTGTGATTATGTTTTTCAAATGCCCTTTGAAAAATCATACACAAAGTAAGTGACAGAAGGGAATAGGTTAAGCTGTCCACAAGAGAGAATGGTGACAAGCACTATGAATGGTATTTATAAGGACATTTTACAATCTAGATGCATGCAAGTGATACGAAGCAAAAAATAAAGACAAAAGCAAACTACAAAATCATATTTACGTGTTGCATGCAAAGTATTGATCCATGGAAAAGCAAATGAAGAAAATACATCAAAATGTTTACAGAGGTTCTTCCTAGAGTTTGGGTTTTTTTTAACACAGATAAATTTTAGTGTTGTTTTATTATAAAAATAATATTTCTATTTGGAACAATTTTAGCTATACTGTGTTTTAAAAGATGGGAGGAGTCTCATCCTCCCATCTGTGCTCTTAAATAACATTACCAGCTGTGCATCCATGCTTCCTTCTCTGATGTCAACATGTATCTCTTCATGTGTCATGAAAAAAGACCTCACTTTTTGAAAAAAAGACCTCACTTTTTTTTGAAACTATAAAATAATACACTATATAAATGGTAAGTCACTATAAAACCTATGTTTGCCCTTTGCCCCCTAAGACTTATCTCAGACATCTTTCCAATGTGTGTGCCCAGGTTCATTCTCTAATAGCTGAGAACATTGGAGTGTATAAAGTTTCCATAAACACTTCTCTTAAGCATGGCTATGCAGGTTATTTACAGTTTGGAATTTTTAAGAAGAGTTTTTTTAAGTCCTTAGATATATATCTTACATATTCCTGCCTTTACATGTGTGGAATAGTTTTCTAGAAGCAAAACCTGTGGGTAAGGGATATGTGTGTGTTTTCAGTTTGAGTAGTTCCTGCCAGATTTACTTGCCCAAAACGGTGTAGTAATTCAGATCCTACAGATGAGATTTTAATTTTTCCTACCTTTAACTTTCCAAAACATTCCAAATTTTCCATACTTAGTACCTGTTCCTTTTCAAGTCGGGGGGAAGAAAATCTGGGGTAAGGGTACGATTTCTAAATCACCATGAGCAAGGCTCTCACCATGCCCCTCCTAGTTGCTCTTCCCACCTCTGCGGTCCAGTCCACCGCCAAGCCCATTTCCTGCCCAAAACTTTATAACATCCAAGTGTGATTATTCTCCCACAGTATTATTACACAGCTACTTAAAAACCCGATGGAAAGTATTGATGTACAGTGAAAACAGCAGATTTCAAAATTTTGTTTTCACTGACAGCAACCTTGTAAGGCTACATTTGTCTGGAAAGGATCGAGGAACTAGAAAAAGCACACGGTAGCAGGATGGGAGAGCCAGTGGGAGCCAGATATATTCTTCTTGTCTCAGCTCTCTTGATTGTGTGTGTCTGTGCAGAACCTAACCTCTCCGATCACCGTTCCCATCAGTCACTTGGGAATAGTCATGGCACCTGCCTGGGGGTATCCCGGGAGGATCCAGTGACAGGAGGCTGGGTGGGTAGAGCAGAGTCAGGCTCCGGCAAGTCGTGGGCAAAGGAACTGTGCTTGCTGCGTCATGGGGGGTGCCTCAGCAACGAAGGAGAGCTGATCGGCTACGTCTTTAAAAAAATTGAACTATCGTTGATTTACACTGTTGTGTTAGTTTAGATGTACAGTACCGTGATTCAGTTCATATACACACACACAGGGCTTTCCAGATGGCTCAGTGGTAAAGAAGCTGCCTATCAAGCAGCAGTCTCGGGTTCGATCCCTGGGTCGGGAAGATCCCCTGGAGAAGGAAATGGCTATCCACTCCTGTATTCTTGTCTGGAAAATCCCATGGGCAGAAGAGCCTGGGGGGCTACAGTTCACGGGGTTGAGAAGAGTCAGACACAACTTAGCAACTAAACCACCACCATATACACACAAACACATATATAGTTATTTTCCAAATTCTTTCCCCACATACGTAGTTTCAAAAAACCAAGAATAGCTCCCTGTGCTACAGTCGGTCCTGGTTGTTTATCTCTTTTCTATACAGTAGTGTGTATATGTTACTTCCAAATATCTGGGTTATCCCTGCCCCGCCCCCACCATCTGCTGCTTCTACCATCATCTCTTCTGATATTAAAAAAAAATGAAAAAATAAAACACAAAATATCCCCAAAGGGTAAATCACTGCTTCTTTACATGACAGCAAGATTTAAAAAATACAGATGCCCGATTAAAATTTGCATCTCAGATAAACAACTAATAATATTTTAATGTAAGTATGTGCCATACAATACCACATCTCACCTCCCTCCCGCACCCCCACGCCCCGTCCTGCCACCCTGCCCCAAGGCACAGCAGAAAGCTCCATTTCTTGTACATGCCGTGATTTCTCCTCCCACCCCCGGGCACGGGCGCCCAGGGCTCCTGCCGCCTGGGCCACCCTTCTTCCTCCCGCCTCCACCTCTGCCTGGAGAGCTCCCACCCAGCTCAGACATCACCCCCTTCAGGAAGGGCCCCCACTGCAATCCCTGGCTGTCTGCCCCGACCCAGCGCGGCTGCTGGACAGGCGCCTTAAGGGCAGGAAGACTGTCTTGTTTGTTCTTGTAGACCCAGTACCCAGCTCATGCCTGACCTCAAACAGGCGCGCGATGAAAAGTCGAAGCGGTGAGTGAGTCTCTCCAACCCCCTTCCCTCCGCAGCAATGCACCCCATCTGTTGCTTCTCCCAAGCCACGAGGGCCTCATTCATTCCCATCACAAGGGGCGGCGTGGCAGGCGGTTACAAACAGCGGACACACAGCGGACAGAGTGGCGCTGGGTCGCCCAGCAAGGAAGTTGAATTTCCCTTGGAAGGGCAGCAATTCCACCTGAATCTGAGCGGCTGGTACTGGCGGCCAAGACTCTAGGGACTGGCAAAGCATGTCACACGCCTGGGTTTGCTGCTCTTCGACATCATAGGAGAGGCATGTGTTACTGCCCCACTTTACAGGTGAGGCTCAGAAACGTTGAGATCACCCTCCCCAGGTTCCACAGTGGAACGCAGCCCCAACTCTGACAGGCAGCCTCTGGAAACACCTGAAGAAAGGCTGCTCCCACACACCTTCCGTCCAATGAAAGCCCTGCCTGGGGACAGGGTCTCCCCCCTCACCAGCCCCCTCCCCTCACTTTGCAGTCCCGCAGCCCCAGGCAGAGCCAGGCACCCTGAACCCCAGAGAGGCCACAACCCTCGAGTGTCATTTAAGCAGACACCCTGCCCAGGACTGGGATCACAAACAATCTGGGGCACGTGGGAATGAATGAATAGGTGCGACCCAAACGCCAGACTCTGGGTGGGAGGCAGGGTGAGGCCGGGCAGGGGAGCAGAGGGTACAAACCCCTGATGGGAAAGAAAGCTTTGCGGGGCACCCAGACGAGGAGGCAGGCAGGGTAGGTGTCAGACGCAGAGACTCACGGGGTGTGTGATGAGAGCTGGGAGGTGGGCAAAGTTGTCAGCCTGGGCCAGCATCTGGGGTCTTGAAAAAATATGTGCGGGAGGCGTGCGGGAGAGCCTGGCCAACCGGTAACCCAGAGGAGGCAAGACAGCCCTGGAGCCCAGCCGAAGGCGAGGCCACCATCCCTAGACAGGACAGGAGGGGCGGAAGGTTTGTACTGTTAAGTCGGCGGAGACAATCCGCCAAGTGGGAGAAGCAAGATCCAGAAAAATGTGGACCATGTCATCACCTTTACGGGTTTTAGAAATTATAAATGTGTCTCCATTCCTATTGTTCAGTCGCTAAGTCGTGTCTGAATCTTTTGTGACCCCGTGAACTGTAGCCCGCCAGGCTCCTCAGTCCATGGAATTCTCCAGGCAAGAGCACTGGAGTGGCTTGCCATTTCCTTCTCCAGGGGAATCTTCCTGACCCAGGGATTGAACCGGCATCTCCTGCTTGGCAGGCAGATTCTTCACCCCTGAGCCACCAGGAAAGCCTGCTTCCATTCCTATATATGGTTGTAAATTCCTAAAGAAAGCCTGGGCAGGAGACCCATGGGAGTAGTGGGTGTGGGGGAGGGGTGGGGAGCAGGTCTTCACCTTTAACTCAAGGTGCTCCCGTGTTGTTGGATCGCCACCATCATGTCTATGTACTATTTCTGTTATTTCTTTATTTAGAAAAACAGGGAATTCCTAGGTGGTCCAGTGGTTAAGACTCTGCACTTCCACTGCAGGGGGTGTGGGTTCACTCCCTGCTTGGGGAACTACTGACATCCCACACGTGGCACAGCACAGCCAAAAAAGAAAGAAAGAAAGAAAGGGAATGAACCAGGAAGTAAAGCCAAAAATCTCAGGGACGCCTCCCCTTCTTGGAAAGCTCTGATGGCCCCCTACTTGCTTGCAAACTCCCGCAGGCCTGCGCCCCGCGCTCCTGGTCACCCCGCACCTCGCTCCCCAGGTTCCTGGTAGCCTCCACCGTCAGACTGCCAGGGTTGTTGTGAGATCTGTCTGCAGGAGACTGCAGCCCGGGTGCCTGGACCCGGTGAGTGGACGGATGAAGGTGGGGACCGATCCCGGCTCTGAGCAGGGAAGGCTGGCAGGCCTGTGTCTGGAGAAGCCCATGGAGTGGCAATTGGAACAGGATCCAGATCATGGCCGGGCCACTGACTAGCCGGCTGCCCTTGAGCTGACCTCCACCAGCGTTGATTTCCCTGCCTGTGAAATGGGGTTGCGAGCAGTCTCTACTCATATGGCTCAGGTGGGCCGGCAGGGCCTGTCGATGAGGAGTGGGGCGAGGCGGGCAGAAGCGGGGCAGGAAGAGAGAAGGCAGACCCCTCCTGAATCCTGGCTGGTGGGGCAGGGTCTGGGGGGCTCTGCCTGGTTGGCTGCCAACGGGATGGAGTGGACCAAGGCTGCACAGAGTGGGGAACCCTCGGAGCTTCCAAATTCTAGCTCCGCCGTTTGCTTTGCTTCGGGGAGTGGGGGGGTGAGTCTGGGGCTCGGGGGGCTCCCTGCATGGTGGGGGAGGGACCAGCTCCCTCATGGCTGGACACCAGGAAGCCCTTGGGCTAGGCAGTCTGGTCGCAGTCACGAGGGAGGCTGGGCCCAGTGGCCCTTATCTTGCCTGACCTTGTGGGGCTGACCACTCCCTCCTCTGAAAAGGGTGGCCCCCTGCCCTCTGGGAGGCCTCTTTTCTCCTTAAATCCCGATGACCCCGGGCTGGGGCCCCAGCACCCAGTTCTGCCCCTTGGCCCACCACCCTGGGTGCTCCACCCGCCCCAGCCCGCACTACCTGCCTGCCGCTTCCCCCCGGAGCCCCTGGGGCGTCTCTGACTCAGCAGAGTCTTGCCCGTCCGCTGCCCCCTCCCCCGGAGCCCTGCACACAGAGGGCCCGGTTGCCCAAGCCCTCACTGCGGGCCACTCCCAGGCACTCCAGCCCTCCCCCACCAGCTCTACCAATTTGAATTCCTGACCATCCCGGCCTCTGGTCTCCTCCCTAGACCCAGGCCCTGCCCCCAGGCTGGGGGAAGGAGCCGTCCCCAGAGATAAGGGCAGGGGGCAAAGGGACACAGCGGGGCTCAGACCCCCTGCTCGGCCTCCAGCTCACGGAACGACCTTGATGAATGACCTCCCCTCTCTGAGCCCGAGTTTCTCCCTCTGTGAAAAGGGGAAATAATTACACCCCTGGGAGGGTGGCCTCCAGCGTACGTGGGCCGGGGCACTGGCTGAGGGCTCCCTGAAGGTCAGTTCTCACCGGGAAGTGTGGCCACCGAGAGCCCCGGGCCAAGCCTTTCTTAAGGCGGCCTCTGGTTTGATGTCTGCTCCATGCCAGGTCGCCAGGTCAAGATGCCTGCATGCAGGGTACGAGGAAGGGGGAAGACCCAGTCTGATAGGGGAAGCAGCAGAGTTACTGAGTAACTCCAGGCCAGGGGACGGTGCCTGAAGGCTGCCCCTGCTCCTGGGAGGGGCAGCTGAAGGCAGCGGGGGAGGGTGGGGTGGATTTGGGAAGCCTGGGGGCGGCTGCCGCGAGACGCGGTGGAGGGCACTGCTGAAGGACACCTGTGGTGGGCGGCTGGAAGGCCATGATAGGAGAAAGGGTCTGAGCCGGAGGGTCCAGGCCTCCAGGTGGACGCCCTCTGACCAGCGCACCCTGACCGAGGGGATGTGGCCCAGGGGGTCCCGCAGGCTGAGGTCGATGTCCTGGAGGCCCAGCCAGGTGGGCAGTCTGTCAGGTGGTCAGGCCCAGAGGACCCCAAGAGAAATGCCCAGATGGCTCAGAGCACAAGGGGGCACCCGAGCCCAGAGCCAGGTGTCCAAGACCAGGGCTCCTGATGGTGGTTGCTGTTCAGTCGTCAAGTCATCTCAGGCTCTCTGTGACCTTATGGACGGCAGCACGCCAGGCCTCCCTGTCCATCACCATCTCCTGGAGTTTGTTCAAACTCATGTCCATTGAGTTGGCGATGCCATCCAACCATCTCATCCTCTGTCACCCCCTTCTCCTCCCGCCTTCAATGTTACCCAGGATTGGGGTCTGTTCCAACGAGTTGGCTCTTCGCATTGGGTGGCCAAAGTATTGGAGTTTCATCTTCATCACTCCTTCCAAAATATTCAGGGTTGATTTCCTTTAGGATGGACTGGTTGGAGATCCTTGCAGTCCAAGGAATGCTCAAGAGTCTTCTCCAGCACCACAGTTCAAAAGCATCAATTCTTTGGGAACTTCGAAATACAGGGCGTTTCGTCCCAGAACACACCCATGGCCCACCACACCAGCCACTTGGAATTTAGCAGGCTGACTGGCCTGGTGGGACGGACTGGGGCACCCCTGGCGTCAGCATGGCCCCAGAAACCCTCCGTGCCTGGGGTCTGGGGCCGGCCTCAGCTGGCACTGTGCTCAGCTTTACAAGAGCTGAGTTGGCCTGTGGGGCTCTACCGCCCGTGGAACCCCTGACCTCGCAAGCAGCCCCAACCCCACCTCCAAACCTGACCTCCAGGAGCTGAGACAGGGAGACCAGGCACCACTGAAAGGTGCTGGAATGAGCTTCAAATGGGCTTCAGGGGCATTTCCGAGCTTTTTACATCGTGACCTCGTGCTGTGAATGTGGATTTCATATAAGATTCTGAAAGCGATCGGTTAGCAAACATCGTGTTCTGAAAGAGCACGCTGGCAGAGGGTGAAAGGGGGCCGGGTGCTGAGAGGCAGAGAGGGACGGAGGGGCTGTCCCTGGGGGCCGCAGTGTGACGGGGGTGGTGGTCCCCAGCCGGGAACCTGAAGGAGGGCTAGAGGAGCCTCGCGGTCACCTTCAGGCAGGCAAGCGGCGCAGCTCTTGCCTCCTTGATGGTGATAGGGGGAACCCGAGCCCATCCAGTCGTGGGACAGCAGGCCCAGGCTGGCGAGGGGCCAAGCACGGGCCAGAAGGCCCGGGGCAGAAGTGGCTGGCGCCCGGACAGGTTCAGTGACCCTGGCTCCAGAGCCCTCCTGACCCGGCCCGCCTGCCCACTGTAAAGCTTCCTCTGCCCTCTGGCCAGCGGGCCCTCCACCCCTCTTCCCTCCTGGGGCAGGTCTGGACAGGCCTTGGGCCTCCAGGTGGCCTGGTCAGTCAGGGAGGGGCGGGGGCCCGTCTCCAGCGGCTCACCTGTGCTCACACCTGTGCCGCCTGTCCCTGAAGCCCCCCGAGAGGCTTCAGGGCCCCAGGAGAGAGCGCTGGGCCCACGTCCACCCTGCCGTGGACCTCTGCCCCCATCCCCAGCGCCCACTTCCTCCGTGCTCTCAGGAGTCCTGAACCTGGACCACACACTCCTGCCCCAGCCCGGCCCCAGATGAGGAGACAGAGGCTCGGACAGCCCCCGCTCAGCGTCCACGGGACGGCTGCTTGGTGGTCCTGCATCCCCCCAGCCTGCCGGGCTGAGACACTGATGCCTCCTGGGACCTTGGGGAGGCTGGGGTTTGCTGGACGCCAGGAAGTGTGTTGGAGCAGGCTTGGGTGTGCTTTCAAGCTGCTCCCGAAGCCCCTGGAAGGATGGCCTCTGTGGTACATGGGGGGGCGCTCTCCAGGGCGCCCTGCGGAGAGGGCGGGCGGAGAGGAGGACTGGGCGGGGCCCGCGGGGGTCTGGGAGCCGGTTCCCGGCGGCCCTGACCCAGGTGCGCAGCCGGGCATCAGCCGTCTGTGCTGCCATCTGGTGGCGGCGTCAGAGAGCTCCCGGCGGCCGGCTGGAAGCCCTGGGGAGAGGGGTCCTCCTCGGCAGGGGGGGGGTGGGCACGCGTCCCAGCCCCGCCCCCGCCCCGCCTGGGCCGCGGCTCGGTGCGTGCGTCCCCGGGCGTGCGATCCCTGACTCGCCTCAGGGGCCGGGGCCTTCGCGGCTCCCACTGCCCAGGACACCCGCCCCCCAACCTGCCTCTGCTCCCGAGAGCAGGGCCAGAGCGTCCTGTGCCGCCCAGGGCCCCTGCCTGGCTATTCCGGGGGGCGGGGAGGCCCGGTGCCCGGTGTGAGCGCCCCCGGAGCCCTGCATGGGAGCGACAAACAAGGGTGGTCGAGCCCTGCTAGTCCTGCCTTCCGCAGGCCTCTACTGAGGCCCTACTAGGCGCCGGGCAATGAAGGACCGAAGCCGTCCTTGCCTTGGCGGGGCTTCCGTTCCAGTGGGGGGGGAGAGGGGGGCGGGCGGGGGTGGGACGTGGCCGGAGAAAAACCACGGGTGACAGCAGACTTGGGTGAGGGCGGTGCAGAAAAGCAAAGCAGGGTGGGCGGCTGGAGGGGGGGGCTGGGGGGAGGCGGGGCTGGGGGAGGGGCGGGGGGGCTGGAGGGAGGGGGGCTGGGGGGAGGGGGGCTGGAGGGAGGGGTGGCTGGAGGGAGGGGCGGCTGGAGGGGGGCTGGGGGGAGGCGGGGCTGGGGGAGGGGCGGGGGGCTGGAGGGAGGGGGCTGGGGGGGCTGGAGGGAGGGGGGCTGGGGGGGGGGGGCTGGAGGGAGGGGGGCTGGGGGGGGGCTGGGGGGAGGCGGGGCTTGGGGAGGGGGGCTCGGGGCTGGAGGGAGGGGCGGGGGGGCTGGAGGGAGGGGGGCTGGGGGGCTGGGGGGAGGGGGGCTGGAGGGAGGGGGGCTTGGGGGGCTGGGGGGAGGGGCGGCTGGGGGGAGGGGGGCTGGGGGGCTGGAGGGAGGGGCGCGGGGGGGGCGGCTGGAGGGAGGGGGTCTGGAGGGAGGGGCGAGGGGCCACTTTCTGGCCAGGACAGGGACTCTTCCGCAGCTCTGGAGAGCGGTGAGAGGCCCTGGGCGATGGTCAGGGGAGGAGATTAAAAAAGAGTTGATGGGACAATGGGGCTGGTATCATTCTCCCTAGGTTACCTGTGCGGTTTCCATGGAATGACAGCTCAAAGTGTTAGTCGCTCCCTCCTGTCTGACTCTCTGTGACCCCCGTGGACTGCAGCCCGCCAGGCTCCTCATCCATGGGATTCTCCAGGCCAGGATACTGGAGTGGGTTGCGTTCCCTTCTCCAGGGGATCTTCCCTACCCAGGGATCGAACCCGGGTCTCCTGCATTGCAGGCAGATTCTTTACCATCTGAGCCGCCAGGGAAGCCCGGATTCACAGCTACTGTGTTTAATTTTGAAGGTGCTGGATTAAGTTCCTGTCCTCTGGCTAAACTGTTGTTGCTCTCACAGCAACTGGGGACCATACCTATGCCCCCTCAGATTGGGGGCAGCCCACCAAGCCCCCCAACCTGAGCCCAGGCGCAGTCCTCTCGTGCACAAGCAGCTCTCTTGTTCTGGCGGGCCTCAGGTCCTGTTCTGGGTTGTGAGCTCACAAAGAAATGATACTGTGGAAGACTGTGAAAGCCAAGAGATGTCTGCACACCCATGTTCACAGCCACGTGATTTACAAAACAGGGGGAGCAACCCTGATGGATGAACGGATGCACAAAATGTGGTCCGTTCAGTGGACGATAATTCAGCCTTAAGGAGGAATGGAACTGTGACACCTGCTACCACTTGGGTGAAACCCAAGCACGTTGTGCCCAGGGAGGTAAGCCAGACAGCAAAGCCCGGATTTCTGGTCCAAGTCCACTGACACGGTGTCCCTAGAGGTCAAAGTCATCCAGTCGGAAAGATTAGAGGTCACCAAGGGCTGAGGGAGGGGACGGGGGATGTTGTGTGACGGGGGGTAGAGTTTCAGTTTGGCAAGAAGGAGAGATGTCCTGGAGACTGGTTGCTCAACACCGTGAACGTTCTTAGCACGGCTGAACTGTACACTCGAAAATGGCTGAGATGGTAAAGTGTATGGTATGGGTATTTCACTAGGCAAGGAGCCCCTGAGCTGGCCTTCTCACTGGAAAGCTGGTGTCTGTGTGGGCAGCTGGCAGGGGGCATAGCCCTCAGCGGACAGTTTCCTCCCTGGCTGAGGCTCGGAGCTTGCGCTCCTGACGGGCGAGTGTGTGTGCGCACCGCAAGGCCCCCAGGCTGCTTCCCGCATTCTCTGAGGGTACGGTGGGCCACCTCGAGGCCTCTCCTAGGGCCGTCCCTCCCTGCTCCCGTCTCAGCCCCGGAGACGGCGTGACAGCACCCTCTGCACCTGAGTCGCCAGCTCCCCCGAGAACCTGCCCGTGGCTCCTACCCTCCTTAACGAGCTGCATCCAGCTGCTCCCTTCTGCCCCCGCGGAGGCGGTGCCCTTCTGACTGCAGTGGGGACCTGGGCTGAGTTGACCCCCCACCAAAGGGTCTTCTCCCCCACCCTCCCCCCGGGGGAAATGTCTGCAGCCCTCCAGGGCCCCGGGACAGGCAGGGAGGGAGCAGGGCTGGGCTGGCCTCCTTGGTTGTGCCTTCACTCCTAAAATTCTCTTTTCTTTGTTTCTATGCACTTTTAATAAGGATTCGAACAGAAGATAGAAAGGTAACATTCTGGTCACTTTTTTCTTTTTTAAAGAGGCAGGCTTTTCTTTAGACTTTCATACAAGGCAACAGCTGAGAGAAGCTAAGCTCCCAAAGGAAACGGGTCCTGAGGATGGAGCTGAGAAAGGGCCAGACATGGATGGCCCAGACCGGATAGCCCAGACACCTGCAGTCACCAGCCCACCAGCCTCTCGGAAGCAGCTTGTTCTTTCTAGAAATGGCTCCATCCAGACTTAGGCCTCGCTGCCTTTGAGGCCTGGGGTAGCAGAGGGTTCAGAGCAGCAGCGTGTGCAGCAGGTGCCCCATGCGAAGCGAGGAGGGCCTGGCGGTGGGTGCCCAGGCACAGGGGCACAGGCGGCCGGAGCCACCACCTTGGCGGGGTGCTGCGCTCACTCCTGGAGGGACATGTGGTCCAGCAGGTGGGCGGGGACCAGGCCTCTGTGGCCGCCCAATTCCCCGTAGTAGAAGCCCTTGTCATCCACGGGCCCGTGGGTGGTGACCACATCCCCTGCCCTCAGTGACAGCTGGCCCTTCACCGGGCCCCCTGCCAGCCAGTCCCCCGGCTCATAGTCCAGAGCTGCCATCATGGTCTTTGGAGTCCAGAGTGAGGAGGAGGTCCTTCCGGGGCTCCCCTGGGGCAGGGGAGAGGAGCCCTGAGGGCCGGCGAGCCCCCCGAAGTCATCCAGGTGCCCCGGCAAATGCCACCTGCCACGGCCATCAGTCCACTCCCTGCCCGCATCCACCTCGGCCACCAGGTGACCGGCGATGCTGCCCACCAGCCCACTGCATTCACTGCGACAGAAGCTATGGGGGTCCTGAGAGCCCCCCGCTCTCCGTGGCCGCCCTTTCTGGAGGGCCAGCTCGCCCCCTGCAGCCTCGGGGGTGGTGGACACGGCCGGGGGCTCGTAATCAGGGAGGGTCGCAAAGATCCCAGCCGGAGGACCCACGCTTGTCCCCGGCGGCGGGGTGGCACCCCTGGGTGTCCCGAGGGCCTTGCTGGACCGGGCAGGACAGGGCGCCGAGCCAGGCCCCTGGAGCCGGCCCCCGGCCCCAGCCCCCAGAGCCTGACCGCGTGTGCTCCGGCCCTGGAGTGCCGGTCTTCGCTCTCGCCCCTCTGCACCCCACGCATCCTCCTGCCGAGCGCCGCAGAAGTCAGACGCGGATTGCTGGCTGCCGCCCGGCTTGGGAGGGATGGACGTGACGGCGTCTGCCTTTTGTCTGAGGACTTTCCCAAAGGTGGCCTTCTCCTGGCACGGCTCGTCGCCGGGCGCAGGCTCAGGGGACAGACGGAGGACTCCCGGAGCAGGGCTTGGGCTGGTGAGCGCCCACCGATCCTGGGTCCCTTCCCCGCCGGGCTGGCCCCGGAGCAGAGGTGGCCTGTGGTTCTGGGGACGCTTCTCAAAGAGCTGGTCCTTTCTGGAGGGCTTCCGGGCTTCCGCGGGCCCCTGGGCTTGGCTGCCTGAGCCTGCACTGGGACCTTCTCCTTCTGAAATCAGTCTGGTCTCCGGGGACCACCTCCTTGGGGGTTCTTCAGGGAATGCTTCGCGACACTTGGCCCGGGGCTCCCCGCAGCTTCGGGGGGCACGAGGGCGGGCCTTGGCACTCAGGGATGCCGGACCCAGCCTCCGAGGGCAGATGGGGAAGCTCCCGCTGACAGCAGACGGGTGTTCCCAGGTGTAGCCGAAGGGCGACATCTCTGGCCAGTGGAGACACGTGAAGCAATCGTGAGGGATCTGGGCGGGCACGGAATCCAGGGACTCGCCGCAGAGCGACATGGTTCTCACTGAGATCTTCTGGCACGTCACAGGCCGCGGGAGCTGGGAGAGTTCCAGCAGCGTGCTCCCCGCTGTGGCCTCGGCCACTTCCGCCACCTTGAGCCCGTCAGCGTATATGGCGTACCCGGTGACCGGGACTCCGTTGGAGGACCCAGCTGAGTCGATGGTCACGGGGAGCCAGCTGACCACCAGGAGGCCCGGCGAGGCGTGGCGCTCCACCAGCACGTCCAGCGGAGGGTGGGGGGGCCCCGCCAAGGGTGTCTCGAAGGTGACGGTGGAGGACACCTCTTGGCAGGCCTGCAGCGAGTCGCAGGGGGGATGCACCTCTACCCGGGCCTGGTACCTCGTGCCAGGCTGCAGGTGGCGGAAGGTGTAGCCATTCACGCCCATGGGGGTCAGGGCATGCTCCCGGTTGTCCAGGTACACCGTGTGAGGGTGGCTGCCACCCACCCAGGCGACCTCGGCCGACGTGGCCACGACACTCAGCAGGTGGAGGTGCACGCAGGCCGTATGAGGGATCCTGATGGTCCCCGGAGGAGAGTTGGAGGACCCCCGCCTGCCCCTGCTCTCCTGGGAGCCCAGCCGGCTGGCTTCCATCTTGGTGTCTGAGACCTCTGTTGCCACTTCCATCCTAGAGCCCACCCTCGCCACTGGGCACGGCTCTCTGTTCACTGCCGTCTGGGCTTGCCCAGGTAAGAAGCCGGGACTGGGGTCATCCTTCCAAGCTTGGCCCTGCCCAGCCGCCGGGAGCCGAGTGGGGCCTCGGTCCGGGGACTCACTGGGCAAGCAGCCCCGGATGTCGCCGTCGGGGATCTGCTCCACCAGGTTGGAAGGCACCAGCCCCCGCCGGCCGTCCTCAAGCTCCCCTTCATAGAAGCCGTCCTTGTCCATGTCGC